ATATATAGGTATACATAAATAAAATACTTTAAAAGATACACGGAGGTTAGTGGTAGTAGGATAGGAGGAGCTTTTGCTTGCGTATTATACTTTGAAAAGATGTGGAAGCTCAAGCAAGCAAGCAAGCAAGCAAGCATACCGGGGCTTTGCCGTATCAAGCTACTCCGTCTCTATTTTTGGAAAGAGAGAACAGAAATCGCTCGAAGCTTTTACGACCTTCTATCGTTCGAACGGGCCAACATATCCGGCACAATCTTTTTCTCTTTCTCTACGTTCTTCTTCTTCTTCTTCTTCTTCTTCTTCTACTTCTCTTTATATCGAACGAAAATAAATTAAAACGAGAAAACGTAATTGGAAGGAAGGAAGGAAGGAAGGAAGAAAAAAAAAAAGAAATAAAGAACAAGATTTAAACCAATTCGTATCTCATAACCTCAAAATAATACAACATGGCTACGTAATTTGATCTCGCAATCGGGAATGATTAAAAATAATGAAAGATAATAAAAGAACATAAATACATACATATACACATAAATATATATAAAAGAAAGAAACTAAAATTAATTATTCTTTTTTATTATTTTATTAATAAACAATTCAAATATTAATTTGATTATTATTAACACGTTGAACGTCATGTCAGTCATCGGTGACTGACACTAGACTATACATTTAGGCCATGTCAGGCATTTGTGTCTGACACTCAACTATTTTTTCAATACAAAGTAATGCCTGTGGCCTGACAGGAATTTCCCTAAGAATTAGCATGACGTTCAACGTGTTAAACAAGTAATACGTAATTGTAGAATGAATATAAAAAAATAGAAACAGAAGAGTTACAGTAGTAAAAACAAAGGAAGGTGGGGGAAATATAAAAGATATATAAAATAAAGTGAAACGGAAGAAGAAGTAGGTATGGTGTTACATAATGGTTCAGCAAACCCTGGCCCGTCGACACCTAAACGCTATTGTTAGCATAGCTAGCGACGACGGTAATAATAAATTGAAACGCCACTTCTCGAAACGCGGGTCAATATATTTTTAGAGCACTGTCAAAAGCAACCTACCAGCTAAGCTAAGCTAAGCTAAGCTAAGCTGAGCTGAGCTGAAAACTGAGAGTTAAGCTGAACTGAGGTTACCCAGAGATACAGTTGGATGAAAAGAGAAAGAGATTGAAATATATATTTATATATTTATGTCGGATATACGGACCCCATTTTCGTGCTTTTACGCAACCCTGATTGAAAAGACAGAGAGAGAGAGAGAGAGAGATAGAAAGGAAAAAAACAAGAAGTTGAATATAAATATATATATATTAGTATATATAGAATAGTATATAGAATATACATATATATTTTACTTTTTTTTTATATTATTTTGTTTCTACTCCTATTTATATAGAATATAGAACATATTATATATCATAACCTCAAAATAATATAGAAGTAATATATATATATGTATATAGATATAATCATCATTATCCGTCAGTTTTCTTCTCTGACTGTATTTCTCTCTCTTTCTTTATTTCTTTTTTTACAATGGCTATATTTATTTTAGTATTGACATTTTCAAAGTTAAATGATTGATGTTATCCTTAGTCGTACAACCAATTGGTACTCTTTGCCAAAATGATTGCAATCAATGTTGAAGAAACTTTTTGTTGAAACTTTAAATTGTGTTATATTAGAAATACACACGTTGCGTATTAGCTTGAATATTTTGTTATTTGATATTAGAAGGGAGTAAAAGTGAATAGAAAAAAAAAAAAATTAAAAATAAATAAAACAGGAACACTACAATTGTTTAAAATTCAAATGTAATTTCAGTAGTTTTTGTTTTGTTTTTTCTTTTTAATAAATCTATATATAGGATTTATTAACAAAGTTTTGATCAATTTTGTGTTATCATATTGTATGATAAAAGTAAAGAAATGAACTCTTAGGAACATTTCAATTAACTAAATTAAAAAATGAAATATAACTTCAGTACAATGTGTTCCTGTTTTTAAATAAATTTATACAGGATTTAATAAAAGTTTAGTAACATTTTGCATTATTTAAACTATTAGACCATTAAGCATAAAATGTTTGATTTCAAATTGAAATTAATCAAAGTAATCAAACGTTTTATACTTAATAAACCAACGTATAATAAAAATCAATAAATTACCAGAGGAACATTCTTCTAATTGGTTGAATTAAAAAAATGGAATATAACTTCAGTATACTGTGTTCCTATTTTTTAAATAAATCAATATCAAAAATAAAATATAACGTTTGATAAAATTAATTACAAAGTGTTACTAAACTATATGATAATAAATAAGATTGAAGAAAAATGATGAAAACACAAAAAAAAAAAGAAATAGTTTTTATTGACAAATTTAAACGAATAACACCCTCAAAATAAAACAAAAAACCACGGATGGACACACACACACACGCACACACAGACGAAACAGTTCCGCAAAGACCTGCTGTCCCAAGTGAATCCGCCAAAATTTGAAAAATCCGAAGACATGGCAGACCTGACCTTCCTGAACGAGGCATCAGTTTTGCACAACCTGAAACAACGTTATTACCACAAATTAATTTACGTAAGTTATTGTTTCATTATATATTAATATTAATTAGGTATTTTTTCTTTTTTTTCTCTCTCTCTCTCTCTCGTCCTCCTCCTCTTCTCTTGCCATCTTCTTTCATCGTCGTCGTCTTCGTCATCGTCGTCGTCGTTGTTGTTGTTGTTCTTCTTCTTCTTCTTCTACATCCGTTCGTGTTCTTCTTCTTCTTCGTTGACTTCTTCGACGGTTGGGGGTTTTTAATTACGATGACAGACCAGGGACTTTAAGAAGGATCAACTGCAACAAGTGAACCCGCCGAAATATGAAAAAGCAGAGGACATGTCTAATTTGACCTACCTCAATGATGCTTCAGTACTCCACAACTTGAAGCAACGTTACTACGCCCAACTTATCTACGTAAGACTTCACAATCATCACAATCATCTCAAAAATCATGATGACGATGATGATGATTTAAAATCCGAGTCTTTTCCCTTATTTTATTTTTTATTTTTTTTTTTTATTTTTTGCATTTATCTGTGAAGTTTTTCCTTTCAATTTTGTGTCATGATTTATATCAAACAATCTCATCACATTTTGTTTTCTTTCAACGAATGAAGACAAAGACAGATCTTCTCGATGAAAGAATATTTAACCTTTTAGGTACTTACTTAGTGCCACTATAATGGCTTTCACGGATATCATCTTCTAATACGACGCGTCACTATGGTGATTTTCGCGAATGCCATCTTTCGATGCGTCGCGCAACTATAGTGGCTTTCGCGGATAACATCTTTTAAAATATATTATACGTAATTTTATTATTAATTATTAAAGTAAATTGTCCAAGTTAAATCGTTTTTTTTGCAAAAAATTATAATTTAATTATAAAAAACTTTAATTAAAATGTACTCACGTAGAAAGAACAGCCATATTGTGGTTCGTCACACATTTGAATTCATTTAGCTGTGCCTAAAAGGTTAACAAAATGTACTATTTAAACGAGAATTATGATTGAAAGAACAACAATAATTTTTTGTTATTTGTTTTCATTTTTTTTTCTTTGTTGGACGAGAATATTCTTGTCGATTTGTTAATATTTTTTTTGTTTTTTTGTTTCATTTCCAATTATGTATAGAAATATTCTCAATTTGATGTTCTTTTTTTCTTTCTCATTCTATTTTTCTTTCTTTCGTTGATTGTTTGTCTCTTCGAATCGTTTTATCTGACAAAACGATGATGTTGATGAAATACGTCGTTACAAAGCACCCCTAACGTGCCACCGACGTTTTAAACTATTCCAATTATAGGAATTGTTTTATTCTTCTTTTATATATATATATAAATAATTTATTTTTCCTACATTGGTAAACGACATTAAGACTTGTCGCCAATGATTATAATAATAATTGTTCTAATACGATTTTCTTCTCAAAATGTCGTCTTTTCATCCTTCATTACCCCCACTCCTTCTTATTTCCACCACTCCTTCTCAGTTCCCCCCTCTCGTTTATCTATTGTGACTGAGATAAACTTGATTTTATGTGTTATATTTTGTTGTTACTTTCATGATATTATTGCTTGCAAAATATCCTTGTGTAAATGATCAAATCGTTTGATTATTTTTTTCTGTGATTAAAAAAAAAAACCTCAAAAAAAAAACAAAACACTCGTTTCGAGACACGAGTCGTTTATTTAATTAAAATAAAAAACAAAAGAATCCTCAAAATTAAACAAATATGGATTCAATGTCGTTTTTTATGTGTTTACTTTAAAAACCCTTTGGCCCTACGATTTAAAATTTCAATTTTAATTTTTTAGTGAAGTAAAAATTGTATGAACCTGTCACAAGTGTTGGTTAAATTTGAAGTTTTGTAAGGCAAAAGGGTTTTAAAAAACATTTCAGCAATACACGAGACCGCAGACCGGCCAATTATCAACAAATGGGAAATTGTTTCATTTTTATTTTCTACGTGTTGTTTTTCTCTTGTCATTTCTTCTTGCTTTTTTATAATTTGTTTTTATTTTCTATTTTTTTTATTTCAAAAAATGAACAACAATTTTTCTCCATGACAAATGTTGTTTTATTACACGTTAATTTATGTATAAATATGTATATATTATTATTATTATTTCAGACATATTCTGGACTTTTCTGCGTTGCCATTAATCCTTACAAAAGATTCCCCGTCTATACCCAAAGATGCGCTAAATTGTATCGTGGTAAAAGACGTAATGAAGTACCACCCCATATCTTTGCCATTTCTGACGGTGCTTATGTCAACATGTTAACCAGTAAGTAATTACAGTAATTAATACATTTACAGAAATAAGAAAAACAACAAAACGAAGTAATTCTATTTTTCTTAACATTATGCCGTTCGTTATGGCACCACGTTGGTGTCATGCGAAAATTATCGGACAACCACTTTATGTGGGTGGTTTCATTTAATAGATAAATACTAAAAGTATCCAATAAAATATGAATAAATAAATAAACAAAATAATACAGAAAAATATAGAGGAATACAATTGAAAAACTTATGAGAAACTAATTACAAAATTAGTAAAATTTATGTCATTAATAAAATGATGTAAATAAGTTCTATCGGTGTCAAATGAACAAATTTTGATGAAACGTGCGAACGGCAAAATGTTAATAAAATATTCAATACAAACTGATCCATATATTTGTTTTAATGATGTAGAACCTAAACAAATTTCTTTGTTCTTTACAGACAGTGAAAATCAGTCTATGTTGATTACCGGTGAATCTGGTGCTGGTAAGACTGAAAACACGAAAAAAGTAATTGCTTATTTTGCGACTGTCGGTGCATCGACAAAGAAAACTGAAGATACTAGTCAGAAGAAGGGTTCTCTTGAGGATCAAGTCGTCCAAACTAATCCTGTATTGGAAGCCTTTGGTAACGCTAAGACCGTCCGTAACGATAACTCCTCGCGTTTCGTAAGTTCATTTCTAATATTTATAACTTTGTATTAAGTATTATATTTCAATGAGTGAGACTCGACCAAGGATCATCTGAGATTAAAATGTTAAGTCACATTTGACTTAGGAATGCAATTTATATTTGAATGAAAAGAATAAAGCACAATTTATAATTCAGTTTGATTAGAATGAAAAATGTCGAATGAGACTCGACAAAGGATCATCTGAGATTGAAATGTCGAGTCACATTTGACTTAAGAATGCAATTTATATTTTAATGAAAAGAATCAAGCAAGTTAATTCAGTTTGACTAGAATAAGGAATGTTGAGTCTCACTCGACATAGGAAGATTGTATTATAATCAACATATTATATTAAATAATTGTATTCTCTAAATGTTTAGGGTAAATTCATCCGTATTCACTTCGGTCCCTCTGGAAAACTGGCTGGTGCTGATATTGAGACTTGTAAGTAAATGAAAATATTAAACAATAATAATTATCCAATAAAATATTAACATTTGAAATATAAAGTAGGTTTACATTAATAAAGAAGTTTAATAAACTAAACTGACAATCCAAAGATTGAAACAAACCAACTACTAAATTGAATAAACCTAACAGAAAATTGTATTCATTAAATTCTATCAAAAGTACTTATATTAATTTATTTATAATATACAACATTTGTTAAATCTTTTCCCTTCACCTTTCAGAAGGGATTTAACAGTACAAACCAATAAATTGCGACACACAAACATACACAGTATAATTTGAGAATCACAGTTTCTGTTTTACATATAAAAATTAAAATAGGAATATAACCTGCACAATATATCTGATAAATAAATAAAGAAAGATAATATATATATTAAAAATGATAATATTACAAAATATATATCAATAATTCTTTGTATACTTTAACAGATCTATTGGAAAAGGCTCGTGTCATTTCTCAACAAAGTTTGGAACGTTCCTATCACATCTTCTACCAAATGATGTCCGGATCTGTTAAAGGGTTAAAGGGTAAGAAAATCAAACATTTCAATAAATTATGACATAATTCCAAAGAACAATATTAACCTGATCATTTAAAATTTCATTAACAATTCAATACTTTCAATTATCATATCATATCAATTTTAAGTTGATCAGGTTAACAATTGTTCACATTTATATTTGAAACATATTTAGGTTAATGATATTCCATTTGACAATATAAAAATTAGGTTTCGTTTATCAGAACAATATTTCTTATTCTTAAGTTGACAATTGTGGACTCCCTTGTCCCTAAACCCTTCCAGAGAAGATGTAAACCGATGATGATAAGCACAGATCCTGGATGAGACGATACTAATTTGTGAATGATTTATTTAGCAATTAATATAATTGTTCAGGAACACACAGTTCAGGATACTAGGAATGGTTTCTACAAACGTGTCATCACGATCATCATGTTCATCATATTTATCCTGTTTTTAATTAAAAATATCGTTTACCTTTTGACCATAATCCTTCCATGCAGACATGTGCTGTTTGTCGGACAACGTACAAGATTACTACTTCATCGCTCAGGGCAAGACAACTATTCCAAACGTTGATGACGGCGAGGAATTGCAACTTACCGACGTAAGAACCTGCACCTGATGAAGATGTCGCAGGGGGGGAGGGAAGGGAATTCAAGGGGGAAAGATGCTCGCCGCCTAATTTTGCCTTATTTTTACTTTTGTTGTCTATGCCTAGATTTATATCTTTGTTTCTTTTTTATGTTTTGTTACGTTCTATTGTTTTTTTTTTATTTTCCTCGTTTTACCCCCCACCCCTTTTTATATACATATACATATACATACATACAGTTTTTTTTTTTAATTCTACAATTTATTCTTTAATCGTATTTTTACCCTTTAGTTGATCGTTGAAAAGATTTCGTTAGGATCTTCTACTTCGTCGAAATCTTTTCAATTTTTTTTAATTCTTTTATAAAACACTGGTGTGTGTGTGTTTTTTTAAATATGTTATGAATTAAATTGTAAAGAGAATTATAATGTTTTATTTAATTGATTAGAGGAATTATGACACCGGGGTTGTTATGAAAGAAAAATGTGTGTTTGAATTTTATGATGTCCATCATAGGCAAAGGACATTGTGTTGGTTGACTACCATTCTCTGATGGACAATGGAATACTTGAAGTACCGATATGTTATAAAATAGTATTATGACACTTTTTATAGACATTATGAATACAAATTGCAAAAAAAGACCCCTACACTTTAAACATTGTCCAAAGATCAATGCATTTATAGATTGAAATATTAAAACAAAGTTGCTTCAGGGTTTAAAAGTAGCAAAGTTACGTTTATATGATTGAAATTAAATTCAAGGACAATGTTAAAAAGTGAAGTGTGGGTTTTTTTTTCAATTTATGACAATCCCCAGAAAACGGGTCAGTCATAATTTTCAGTACCACAAGATGAGATTTTTGATGACGATGAAATCATCGAAAAGCTTTGTAGATGAACCACTCCTCACCCTCGTAAATATTCCCAATGTAGTTTGAATTACCATGACTCAAACTAGCCCAGCATATACAAACAACCCCCACCCCAAAAGCCCCAAACCCCCGAAGGAAAGCCACTAGGAATTACGTGGTCTCGGTCGTTTGTGATTTCATTAACCCCGTGCATGATTTTTGTTTCTTTTTTATTACGACCCTCGTAGAGATGTTGCTGCTGTCCAACAACATCCACGACTACTACTTTGTGTCGCAAGGAAAGACGACTATTCCTGGTCTCGATGACGGCGAGGAACTTTTGGTTACCGACGTAAGTGCATGCGATTCTAATCAATTTCCTCAAAAAAAAAAAACAAAAAAAAATTAATTCTACTTTTTCTATATCCTGGAAGAATAGCAGATCCAGGATTCGTTAACGACAAATAAACAAACAATCAAACATACAAACAAACAAAATATATAATAATATATAGTAACTATATATTTATATGGATATATTTGTTTTGCACTTAAAATTTTTATGGGATCAAGTCAAATAATTGTCAAATACAATGTCTCTCATTATATATTACATTAAAAATATAATATTATATATACGTTAATACTTTTCATCATACGATACTAAATATTTATATAAGCATTTTTAGAAACTTTTTTTGTTAGTCTTGAATAGCTCAATGGGTTAAGTAATCGCATTAAAAGCGAAGATTCCTGAGGTCGATTCCCCCCCGGTTCTTTCAAATAGTCGATTTCAGAATTTTCAGTGTTTTTCTGAAATTCTATTTACTTATTATATTATTTCTTATTATTATAATTAAAATTTATTCCTTTTTTCTAATTAAATATTTTTATTAATTGGCATTTAGGAAACTCGAAAGTTCATTGCTGCAAATATCAAATTCTTCCATTTCTAATTAAATTTGCAAGATAAAAGGTTGAATTTTTAATTGGCATTTAGGAAACTCGAAAGTTCATTGCTGCAAATACCAAATTCCTCCATTTCTAATTAAATTGCAAGATAATAAAAGGTTGAATTTTTAATTGGCATTTAGAAAATTCGAAAGTTCATTCCCGTAAATACCAAATTTTCTCGCCACTTCTAATTAAATTGCAAGATAAAAGGGTTGAATTTAAAGTGCAAAACCTTAAACGATATAAATATCTAGTAACATTATGTTGTATATGTTTATTATTATAATAATAATAATTATTATTATTTTATTTTTGATGATTAATTATCGCTATGCATTTATTAAATCTGCTTTTGAACAAATATTTTTGCTCTTAATGTTTTCAAAATGCTCATATTTTTTTGTAGGATCTTTATCAATGTCTGTCTGTTTGGCATCTATCTGTTTGTCTTACTATCTTTCTCTATCTATCTATCTATCTATCTATCTGTCTATCTATCCATCTATCTTTCTCTCTTTTCGTGTTCTCTCTTTCAGCTCTATCGTTTTATATGCCTACACTTAATACACTTATGATAATCATCCACATTTTTACAGCTACATTAGATTGGACACTGTGGGAACTTTTCATACTGTTTTACTATACTTTCAGTCTCACTTCTTCTTCTTCTTCTTCTTCTTCTTCTTCTTCTTCTTCTCTATCTTTTCTTCTTCTTCTTCTATTTCCTATTTTCTCTCTCTTTTTTCTCGTATTTCATTTTTCTGTCTATCTCTATTTGCTTTCGTTTGATTTTGTTTTCAGCAATTATCATTATATGTAACCGTGTCATCATCAAACGCGTAAAGAACTTTTCATCGTATATTTTATATTTCACATGATAATATTTCAATTAAACAAAAAAAAAAAAAGAAAAATAATCAAAAAAGTTCTTTACGTAATCAATAAATACATAAAACGAGGAACTGTATCGTAGTTTGATTCCAAAAAAAAAAAAGACAATTAATTAACGATATTGTTCCTCGTAATGAACCCAAACATAAGCTAGGGGATTATCGTATAATACAGAAATGACCTTCCTGAGCAACCGAATTGGGGACTACTGGTATATTAGCCAGGGTAAGACCAGAATTCCGGGAGTTAACGACGCCTCGGAGATGGAAGCTACGGACGTAAGTCCATCCCCCGAAAGGTTCTTATGATTCTCACCAAAGTTCATGTCGCCTTGATCATCTTTACAATTTTTCATTTTATTTTATTTTTTTATTCCATTAATTTGACAAATATTTTTTTATTATATCAAATAAAATACAAAATTTTTACATAAAGTTTTATTTATAAATAGTAACCAATGTTTAAATTATTAGTATAATTCAGATTTAGTATAATACAACCCTTAAATGGGTCAGGGATACGATAACAACCCCCTATTTGGGTTCGTTAGTATTGAATAAGTTAATATGTTGTATCAAAATACAGTTAATGTATATATATGTTATATTATTTTTGATATATATAAAAATTTGGATCTATCTAATCATAGTGTTTCTCTTGATCTCTCAAGGTGGCATGAAATCTGGCTGAAGATTCGACAGGAACCATCCCCTCGCTCCCCCGCTTGCAAAAGCATCTGCTTGCCGGCGCAATCGGGGTGCGGGGAGATTGGGGGACGTAAGGAAGTTAGGGACAAATTTAATTATTAATCGACAAAAAAGAACTAAAACAAAAATTATAGGAGAGAAGGAACAATTTAATCCCCCCCAACGGTACCTCGCTCCCCGATCAGCATAATCATCATCATCATCATCATAATCATCATAATTGTCATGATTTCGCATTATTGATTTTATTTTTTCTCATATCTGTCTATCTCGAAAGCCGTTTCTTCTTTTATTTTTTTTTTTTTTTAGGAGGATTCTTTAGTATAAATTTCGTCTCGAAATTTTTATTAAATTATTTCCTATCGATTTGTTTCCATACTTCTCTATATATATATATATATGTGAATTGAAAATTAAAATGAGAATTAAAAAAAACAAATCAAGGATTCAACGAAAAGAAGAAAAACAAAACAAAAATGGGAAAATTGGATGGAATCTTTTTAATTATAAACAAATTGTTTATCTATACTTTCTTCTTCGTAATGATTCGCAGAAAAATGTCTCTTATCCAACGACATATATGACTATCACAACGTCGCGCAAGGAAAAGTTACGATCCCCAACGTTGATGACGGAGAGGAATGTCAACTTACCGACGTAAGTCAAATTCAAAAGAAAAATTGGTACAAAAACCAATTGTCAGGAAAATTCCTTCTTATATTTCATTACTTTTTAATTATCTATCAATTTCTTCTTATTATTCTTCTTGTAGACTCCCCCACCTTTTGTTGCCCCCACCACGTTCTGCCCCCACTACTCGTTGGCCTTGCCACTTTCTGCTCCCACTACTTGTTGGCCCCGCCTCTTTCTGCCCCCACTCTTCTTTTTATATATTTGTCTTATTATATATATGTTCGATCACTTTATTATACAATGTTGATCGTACGTAGTTTAGCATTGTCATAAGTGTTTATGACATTTGTTTATTTTCTTTTATCTTGTAGATAATTTCAATTATCTCTGTTTGGTAGTACCCCGTAAAAAATTGTAAGATTAAGTATTCTTTAGAAATTGTTCCCAATTATTATATATATATGTGTATATTGTGTTAATCATTTTTCCAGTTGTTTACTCCAATTAACCCATTCGTAGAAATATAATTCTCTTATTACGACTAGTAACGAAAGGGTTAATTTGTTCATTAGTTTTTTATTTTACTTTATTTTTTCCCCCTCGCATATTAGAAAACCAGTACTTTAACTTGGATGGTTGAAATATCAGTGAAATTCTTTTCTCTTATGATCATTATTTTTTTCACAAGTCAAATCAATTGATTTTTTTTTTGAATTTGTTGTTAAGGATAACAATGATCGAGTATTATTATTTAAATAGAATATTTTTGTTATTTTAATGATGTATAATATTAAGTTTAAATTATAATCCAACGTATGATCATAGTTTTTTTTTGGATTACTTTAGTCCAATAAGTGAAATTATTAACCCCTTAACGCACAGTTCTTTTTTTTTTTGTTTTTTAAACCGGTCAAGAAAAATCAAATTTTTTTTATGTAAAAAAACACAATTTAAAACATTTTCATCGTTTATTGTCAATTATCGATTAAATTTGAGTGTGAAAAATTATAGCAGCATAAAATACAACACCACTTGAATTAACTCGAGCGTGCAACTTAAAGGGGTCAATTGAAATTCTTTATTTCTTCAACCCTAAAACATGAGAAAGTACTAAGGTTGTGGGCAAAATCAACCCTTAAGAGAACACATTTCTTCTATTTTTGTTCTCTTTCACTATCTGATTGAATTAGGCTTATTGAGAGTCTAAATTATCATCGTAGACAAACCCAAGCCCTTTCAACTGCACTGAACGACACCCCCTTCCCCTCTCCAGTTGATGAAACGAATCATTACGTGAGAATTATAATCGTTTGCGAACGAGATATTGTTTCTTCGTATTATTTTACCCCTTGCAACATTGTTCATCATCTTATTATTCTTCTTCTTGTACCTTCTTTGTAATTATTATTATTATTATTATTGTTGTTGTAGTTATTCCTGTTTAATGTTTTGACATGTAAAAGGTAAAACAAAAATCATATTACGTATGAGAACGAAATTAATTAGATTTCGTTTATAATCATCTTTTGCTTTTTGTGATTTCTATTTTGTTTTCCATCTCTGTCTCTCTCTCTTTCTCTCTCTCTCTCTTTGTTTTAAGATGGGAGAAATTTGATTTTAATTTTTATTCGTGTTTAGGGAAAAAGAAGCGGCTACATGACACAAGCTCAGCTTCAGCTTCAGCAATTTTTTGTTATCTTCTGTTTTTTTTTTTTTTTTCATACATTTTTCTTCACTTATTCTTCATTTTTCTTTTTTTTTGCTATAATTTTAAGCAAAGCTTCTTTTCTTTATTTTTTTTTTCTTTTACAGTTGCTTACAAATGCGTTCTCTTCTTTTTTAAATTCAATTTTCACGCTTATGCTACTTTGTTCTTCCTCGATAAACGTACGAGTAATTTGAAATTTTGATTCTTATCACAGATTTGTTTTGTTTTTACTTTTAATTAGAGTATTTCGTAAAAACAAAAAAAAAACATTTTACTCGAACGTTTTTTAAGATTAACAACGTCGATTGTCTCTCGTCCTTGTGTGCTTCCTTTTTTTTAATTATTATTATTATTGTTTATTATTAATCAAGCAGCCGCCATTAAATAGCTTTGAATTAATGCGCAAAAAATATAAAAACAAATATTAATTACTATGAGATTTGATTCGTAACAGGAATGTATCATTCTTACATAAATTTGATCACAAATTTTTAAAATTTGATTCCAAATTTCTAACCTTAAAATCGTTGATTCCGTCACGAAAACAAAAAATGTTTAGAAGTTGTAGCATTCGCCATTTTTAAAAAGCTTCGAATTAATGCGCAAAAATATTTATGATATAAATTTGTGATCAAATTTTTATAATTTGATTCCAAATTTCTAACCTTAAAATCGTCAATCTCGTCACGAAAACAAAAAATGTTCGGAAGTTGTAGTATTCGCCATTTTTTAAAAAGCTTCAAATTAATGAACAAAAATATCTACGTAAATGTAATTAATTATATAAATTCGTTATCAAATTTTTTAAAATTGTATTCCAAATTTCTAACCTCAAAATCGTCGTTCCTGTTACGAATAAAAAAGAAACAAGAAAAAAGTGTAAAAAAATTTGTATAATTGATAGAATATTTTTCATGTTTATTTCTGTAGCAAGCCTTCGATGTGTTGGGTTTCACGCAAGAGGAAAAGGACAACATTTACAAGATCACCGCAGCTGTTATGCACATGGGTGGCATGAAGTTCAAACAAAGGGGTCGAGAAGAACAGGCTGAAGCTGATGGTACAGAGGTAAAAATTCACAAAAATCATATTTTTAGGTTAGAACAAGAATTAACTGAAACATTTTTCTAATAAGTCTTATACTTTAATTTTTTATATCAAAAGGATTCATATGTTAGAGATTATTAAAAATCAGTAACTAAAAAACACAAATGAAAACCAAATTCACATAAATGTAATTAAACATCAATTGAATTATTGACTATGTTCACACTAGTGATAAATTTGTAATAAACTGATTACTACTGAAGTCAATAAACGTATTGTAAATTTTCGATTTAGAGGTTAGGTTAATTATGGAGTGGTGGGACATAAGTAGTAATCAGTTATATTAAAAAACAAAGTGAATTAAAAAACAGAAAATTACTAATTGGGTCTTATGCAGGCCGTGGGTCTATAGGACCCGTAATTTTAGTAGAATTATATGTTTGAAATTTTACTAAAATAAAATATTGTATAATAAAAATAATGATGACAAAATAATAATAATAATATTATAGGAAGGTGAAAGGGTCGCAAAACTTCTTGGTTGCGACTGTGCCGACCTTTACAAGAACTTGTTGAAACCAAGGATCAAGGTCGGTAACGAGTTCGTAACCCAAGGTCGTAACAAAGATCAAGTAGCCTACTCAGTAGGCGCCATGTCGAAAGCCATGTTCGACAGATTGTTCAAATGGTTGGTCAAGAAATGTAACGAGACCCTGGATACTCAACAAAAGAGACAACACTTTATTGGTGTACTAGATATTGCTGGTTTTGAGATTTTCGACGTAAGTATTTTTCTTTCCATATAATCATTTTTATTATAATATATTGAAAATATTTCAAATAATTTCAATTTGATTCATTTATCCAATCGATGACGATTTTTATCATTTTTATATTTCTTAATAATTATTTAAATAACATATTGGGTTGTCCAAAAAGTTCGTGCCAATTGTCGATAGATGGCATTAACGTTTTTTTTTTTTGCTAAAAAACCTGAAAAAGTTCTGGAAGCACAAAATTTTAAAGTTTTATTATATTATTATATTATTTTTATAATTATATATATATTTATATAATTATTAATATATGGGTTGCGTAAGAACCAAAAAAAGGTTTTAAAAATCGTCAACGAGTTGGATTAATGAAACTTCAACATATTTCATTTTTTTTATTACACATATGATAGTATTAATTATAAATATATTTTTTAAAATAATTTTTCACATATATATATACATAAATAATTAAAAACGAAACATAATAGTTCAAAAATATGATACACAACAATATAACTCGTATTATTCACATAAAAGAGAGGAACAAAAAAAATATAGCAAAAAAACATCATCAAAAGATTCAAAAAAACCCAAACGATAAATAAACCCCATCAAATATATTTTTTTACGTACCACATCGATCGATAAAAAAAAAACCAAAAATCAGAGGAACATCATCTTCCTCCCATAAAATTCATTTTTTTTTTCAACTGTACCCCTTTACACGAAGATAAATTCGTTTTGGTGGGCCCCTTTTCTTTAGTACAACGGTTTCGAACAACTCTGCATCAACTTTACCAACGAAAAATTGCAACAATTCTTCAATCATCACATGTTCGTACTAGAACAAGAGGAATATAAAAAGGAAGGAATCGTCTGGGCTTTCATTGACTTTGGAATGGATTTGTTAGCTTGTATCGAGCTAATTGAAAAGGTATCCCTCATTTTGAGGGACTACAAATATTACCCCTACCCTCACCCCAAAAAAAAACGAACAACGTTTAAAAAACGTTCAAAACAATTGTTCTTCTTTGACTGTTCTCTCTGGACAATATCCTTCGAGTGTATTTTTATTATCTTCTTCAACCCCCACTCCTCACCCCCAAAAATTAGTGGCACGATTTTGTCCATTAGGTATCACAATTATTATTATTATTATGATTATTTCTAATTCTTCATCTTCGTTTATTCCCAATTAGTTTATTTATTCGTTGTTGTTACACATTTGTACTTAAAACCCCCCACCACTACCCCTATAGGCATGACTCACGTATTATCTTCCAAATAGTATATATATATATATGTTAGTATACATATATATATTTCATGTTTTACGATAATTTGATCTTGTTGTTTATTATAAAATAGTTTATTTATATTCTTGGTTGTTCACATTTGTACTTAAAACCCCCCACCACTACCCCCATAGGCATGACTCACGTATTATCTTCCAAATAGTATATATATTTCACGTTGTACGATAATTTGATCTTGTTGTTTATTATAAAATAGTTTATTTATTCCTGGTTGTTACACATTTGTATTTAAAACCCCCACCACTACCCCCATAGGCATGACTCACGTATTATCTTCCAAACAGTATATCTATTTCACGTTGTTTATGGATAATTTTCTGTTACACGAATTTTTCATGATTGTATTTATTATTGTAACAAATTTACACACACACACCCCAATTTTCACACCTTTTCAAGCTCGATATATTTGAAGTATTTTGTTTCTCTGTAAAACCCTTCAACCTTTGTAATGTATCTCACAGAATGTTGATACTTTTTAATATGAATTTTTATCTTTTTTCTTTAGACAAGGTGGTGTTTGTTCTCAGATGTTGTTTTGATCCTAAAAATGATTATTTTTTTTTGTCTAGAAAGCATGAGGTATTTAGAATTAGACTTTGTCGTTTGTAAAAAAAAATTGGGAGGGGAGAAATTCACTCTCTTCCCCCACTTACATCCTTGTTTGTGAATATTTTCGTTCGACGTTCTTTGGAAATATGACGATTGGAATAATCTTGGATGAAATCGAGATAGGCGTTTTGCAAGTAGGTGAAATAAACAAAAAAAAAGTGGAAGTAAATTCGTTTTTTTCTTTTTTAAATAATTTTTGTATATTTTATAATAATGGCAGTGAAACAGTGGACCTCACGTAGAATATTATTAACCCCATAAGTATTTGGAAAGAAGAAGAAAAATAAATCAACCAAGTACTTGTGTGTCAACCGTCCGTAGATGAACGAGGGATGGTCTAAATCAGTGATTCTCAATCGGTGATTCGTTGAACACTTATTAATTTGTCAAATTATTACAAATGTTTTCATCCTTTTATTTATTGCAACAACAAAAAAGTCAAATTTACATAGTTAAAAAAATAATTCAATTATTTTTATAAATTATGTACTTTATTTTGATTGTAGTGTCGTAAATATTCGGTATAATAAAATATCAAAAGTTAAGTGTTCCTGAAGACAAAAAAAAATGATTGAGAACCACTGGTATCAAAGTTACTCGTAGTCTGACACTTTGAATTCGTTGAATACCCCCATAAAAGCTACATTTTGCAGTAGTAGTTGAAAAACTAATACCATAAATTGACTACAGTATGTACCAAGTATTTTAATCTCCCCGCCCCCCCACAAAAAAAAGATACTTTTTGTATAATAATAACAATAATCACATCATTTGTATGTACGAACGAAACAAATGATTGAAAATATACCAAAACAAAACAAAAGCACGACAAATTTCAATTCGTGCCGTAATATTACAATTATATTTGTAATATTGTATGTATTTATTTCTCACACATACACACGCATATATTTATATGAGATTAAAAGAATTCACATCTCATATTTGTACAAAATCAAAAAAAAAAAAAAAGGAAATACGCAAATTTAAGGAATATCGAAACGAAAAGGACCCCTGTTGTTGTTTCGAATGATCAACTATCAAAATTCCTCTGACTTTGAATACAAACGCATGCCCCGGTTTTTTAAATTTCTTGCTCGAACAGTTCAACAGTTTCGAGCAACTCTGTATCAACTTCACCAACGAGAAGCTCCAACAATTCTTCAACCACCACATGTTCGTCCTCGAACAAGAAGAATACACTAAGGAGGGCATTGTATGGGAGTTCATAGACTTTGGCATGGATCTCCTCGCATGTATCGAATTAATTGAGAAGGTACCAAAATGATCCAAAACCCCCTCATTCCTCAAAAAAAAAAAAAAAAAAATACAACAAACTGTACCAAAAGAGTACGACGACAAAGTACTGTGAACAAAAAAAAACAAAAAACAAACCAACCAACAAATCCATCTCCGAGGAAAGAGAAAATGGATGAATGTTATCCGTGAACAAATTACTTCACGGAGAGTTGCATAATAATTATTGTTTTTAATTTCTTTTGTTCTTTTTTTTTTTTTTTTTTTTTTTTTTCTTCTTCTTCTTCTTCCCTCGAATTATAGTCAAAAATCTCTTGGAGAAATTGAGTTACGATTGACAGCANTCCATCTCCGAGGAAAGAGAAAATGGATGAATGTTATCCGTGAACAAATTACTTCACGGAGAGTTGCATAATAATTATTGTTTTTAATTTCTTTTTTTTTTTTTTTTTTTTTTTTTTTTTTTTTTTATTCTTAGAGTTTTTTCCTGGGTTTCTTTTCCTCTTTTATTCAATTTAACGCTTTTACGATTGACAGCAAAAGTGATCGTCCACTGTTATATCCTTTTATTTGACATTTGTCTCGTTGTCAACAAAAAAAAAACCTTATTATTCCATATTCCTATTAAGTTTGTCCTATTTTCTGTTGTTTCGTTTCTTTTTTTTTTCTTTTCTTTTTTTACATAGATTTTTACCGCTTAGCCAGTTTTTTCGTAGCAATATTTGTCAACGTGGGCCCAATGGTGTGGATTTTAAAGGAATCTTCGTTGAACGTGAATATGATCGTTCCAATTTGTCGAATTGTCCTGCAAATGATCAAACATTATCTCAAAATTTCAATACATAAAACAAACGATTCGAAAACATCACAAATATCATTTTGTACAACCGTTTTAATGAATTTTTTCAAAACGTCTTGTGCAAACTTGCATTCACCGATCAAACATAACCTCCAAATCTGAATATATAAAACACAGGACAAACAAATGATTCGGAAACATCACAAATATCATTTTGTACAACCATTTTAATGAATTTTGTCAAATGATCAAACATAACCTCAAAATTTCAATACATAAAACACATCAGAAACAAACAATTCGAAAAAAATCACAAATATCATTTTGTATAAACCGTTTTAATGAATTTTTAATTCTACTTTTTATTCCTATATTCTTTTTTGTATCTTATTTTGTTTTTTTATACAATACACACAGACACACACACACAAACAAAAATATAAGAAAAAAAAACAAATTGGCATGCACCATAATGATTGTTCTTCTTGTTCCTGTGTTTCTCTTTTACGTTTTCACTTCTCACTTCCCGTCGTGCATCGATCTGCCGCATACGAATGGTCATATTGCAACAATAAAATTGGTGGTATGAACAAAAAATTAAAACAAAATGAAAAAACAAAAACAAAAACAAAACCAGTTCAATGGGTTCGAGCAACTTTGCATCAACTTCACCAACGAGAAATTGCAACAATTCTTCAATCATCACATGTTCGTACTAGAACAAGAGGAATACAAGAAGGAGGGCATCGATTGGGCTTTTATTGATTTTGGAATGGACTTGCTAGCTTGTATCGAGCTAATTGAAAAGGTATTCAATTAAATCAACTAATTAATAAATCAAATAAAAAAGGGCAGAAAAACTAGCCTCAGGAGGTAAATGAAAGTTGACGATGAAAAATCGTTTTGGTGACGATGAAAACAACTACGACAACGATAACAATGTTGCTGCTGCTGATGATAACGAATGAAGATGATTAATGAATGAATGATTAATGCAAATTACCAACAACAACAAGAACAACAACAACAACAGGAACAAAACCGTCCAAGAAAATCGGTCCAATTTTGTTTTTTTTGCTGATTAGTATGTGTAAAATTGGCCATTTGTTTATATCGCTTTGTTCACAAATTCTACGATAATATTTGAAACATGATATTGTCGAACACTAAGGTACCTAGTACGAGTACCCCAAAATCGTTTTACAAACCCCATACGCACAACCCCCTACCCCTTTTTCTATGCACATTATTATCATGTGTTTCTTATTTTTTTTTTATTATTATTATTACTCTCTTTCTCGATACTTTATTACGTTTGCATGTGGAATTATGTTAATTAACGATCGTACAAGAAGATTTATTATAAAAATGATATTTTTCTTCTTTTACTTTCGTTTGAACGCATATATCCAAAATTAAATGAAATTCTAGCAAATACGAGGATCATTCTGAAGGATCATATACAAATATGTATATATATATCTCTCTTTATTTATTTTTGTTTATCCAATTATATCATAATCGATACTTCCTTGTGATAATAAGCGATCCGTATCGTAATCATGTTAAACAATATGACACAAACATGATTATATCTAAATTGCTTTTATATTTCATCGAACATACATCTATATGTGTATCTTTCATCTGCTAATAAGATAGAAACAAACTTATTATTATTGAAACTTATTGTTCTTTTATTTAGTCAATTTGTTTCAATTAGGTTGTTTCTATCATCATAGCAATCCCATACAACAATTCACTATTGCAAACCTCTTGTTTTTTCTTAGCAATTGCATAAAACCTACAGCATTGTTTTCTTTTTAGAAATAGAAGCAAACTATATTTCAAAACTTATAATACAACCATCCCCCTTTCTGTATTGCAAACCCCTTGGTTTTTTAGCAATTGCATAAAACTTCCAGCACAATTTGTTTGCAAATGAAATAGAAACAAATAATATCAAAAACTTATTGTCAATTAGCCAATTTGTTTGATCAGATTTGTTTCTATTATCCTAACAACCCTTATGCTATACCCCTTACCTCACCTCTCACATACCTTTATTTACTATCTTTCTTTAAAAATAAAATTATGACAAAAACAAAGAAACAAACAAGAACATAAAATAATGACGTATAAAAGCAGCAATTAATGACAGCTGTTTATCCCCTGTTTTGTTTTTCTTTTCCGTTCTCCGCTTTACCCTTACCACAATCAACCCCCTTGGTCGAGCAGTTCAACAGTTTTGAGCAACTCTGCATCAACTTCACCAATGAGAAATTGCAACAATTCTTCAATCATCACATGTTCATACTAGAACAAGAGGAATATACTAGGGAAGGAATCGAATGGACGTTCATTGACTTTGGCATGGATCTACAGCAGACGATTGATCTTATCGAGAAGGTATTTCCGAGCCAAAATTTCTCTCAACAGAACCAACAATACCCAAACAACAACAACAACAAATCCCCAATATATACATATATGAATATAACATATGTATATATGGGGAAATATAGCAGTTTGGGTAGGATTGTTTTATGAAACAAACATTTTGTTGGTGATCAAATTGGCATTAAACAAAACAAAATATCTGAGGGATTGTCAAGGTGGATTCAACCAAACCAAACGAATAAAAAAAAAAAATTATTAAGGAATCGAATGGACTGACTGCTCGAGCATGTGGAATTATTATTACTATTATTATTATTATTATTATTATTAATTGCTAGATCTTTACTAATATAGGATATTCTAATTAACATTTCCTATATTTAGCTATATCTCTATATGTTATGTCTGTTATCCTTCTTCATTATTTCATTCTCATCATTTTTTGCTTTTTTTCCTTTTTTTTTTTACTTTCTACCAATGCGTTTTATCCAACGATCGATTTTGAAAATTGTTAAAATTTATTATTTTATTTTATTTTTATTTTGTCTTCAATGAAGACTTCGAAGAAAAAAAAACAGAAAATTGAATTAAATTATTTCAATTTAATTTGTTAAACGTATTTTATGATCATAACCCTTGTTAGTTATATTTTTTAATAATTATTTAATAACAATAACGATCGTTAAATGATAAAACACATTTGTAATTTAACCTTCGGTAAGGAATATTCGTATTTGCGCAAAATCAATTGGTCGTACGCGAAGCTTTTTTATTTTTTTTCTGCACGTGAATAAAAAAAAAAAGAAGAAAACAATTTTTACAACAAAAGTGTGATCCTGATTATCCAACAAGGAAGGAAAAAAAAAAAAAAACTTTCAACGATAAGAACAAGAAAAAAAACACATTTGTTCGAATCGTCGTAAAATTTGACTCTACAAAAACTTGAAAATACAATTTGTGAGCTTTTTTACTTTTTTTTTTGTTTTAAATTCTTTTTTTTTTTTTTTTTTTTTTTTTGGAGATTTGGAGAAAGTTAAAACCCTTTTTCTCTAGTTTTGTCTTTTTTCTCTGTTTGTTTCTTTTTCTCTGTATTATGCGTGTTCGCTTCTCCTTCTATTCTTCTTCCTTCTTCTTCTTCTTCTTCTTCTTCACCTTCATCGTCATCCTTGGGATGGATTTATTGACGATGCAGTACAACAGTTTTGAGCAACTCTGCATCAACTTTACGAACGAAAAACTTCAACAATACTTCAATCATCATATGTTCGTCCTGGAACAAGAGGAATACGAACGCGAGGGTATTCCTTGGACGTTTATCGATTTCGGTATGGACTTGCAGTCGACGATCGATTTGATCGAAAAGGTAAAAGCCGAGTATTAGCGCTCGTTCTACCATTTTATTTTTTTTTCTTATATAATTTTTTTTTAGACACGAGCGTTTTACTCGACTCACGTATAATGAAATTAAAAATTTAACCTCTTAAACACGGCTAGCTTCTTTGTACGACAAGGTTAAACGAGAATTACATGTAAACTGATACAACTGCAATGTGTGACGATGAACAATGTTGTTCTTTACGCGATTGTATTGGAGTTTAGTTTTTAATGATTTAATTATAATTTTTTTCTTTTTTTTTTTTAAAGAAATAGTACACATATATTTTCACTTTGACCTATTTACTCTTTAATAATTAATAATAAAATTAAATATAATATATTTGATAAGAGGTTATCCGCGAAAGTCACTGTAGTTGCGCGTCGTACTGCAAATATGGCATCCGCAAAAGCCACTATAGATGCGCGTCGTACTGAAAGATGGCATCCGCGTAAGCCACTATAATGGCGTGTAGTGCCTAAAAGGTTAATATATAAAAATGTAATATAAAAAATATAATATTAAAATATAAAAATATACAAACCTTTTTTTCAAGGAAAATATGATAAAAACGTGTTACGCGTTTATACGGTTTTTTTTTTGTTTTATTCATTTTGTTCATAATTAATTTACACAAATTTAATTGTGGTAGAAAGAAAGTATTATTTAACCCTATTTACATTCCTATGTCGAGTGTGACTCGACAACAATTTTTTTGTTCCAAACAAACAATTAATCAAGTGAAACTTCTTTAAAATTACGTTTCATTTTTTGTATACCTTTTCAATTATTATTAATCGTTCCGATATTTAATTCATTTTTTTTTCTTTCCCCTTCACACCCATATGAAATGAAATAATTTCCATTGAAACCTTAACCTTTCATTTTTGTCACGTGTCCTTTGAAAAATTTTCTTCCCAAAAGAAGTTTCACCTGCATAAAAAAAAAAAAAAAAAATTCAATTGCAATACAATTACTATCGCTTAGCTTACCTTTTTATCTGTCTGTGTGTATTTGCACGTGTTTGTATTTAATCCTTTTGTTATGTTTTTATTGTTTCATTGTTGTTTAATCAATATATATATATATATATATTCACAGATTTAATCAATTTGTTATCGTCCCTTTTGTCCAGTGAAAGAGAAGAACAAAATTGAACGAGATTATTTGTAGAATTATTATTACATTTTAACATTAATTAATATTTTGTTACAATGTAATATATTGTTCGTAACGAATAGTATCGTTTATTAAAATGTTAAAGTAGAATTATATATATAAAAAAAAAAAAAAAAAGAAAATATAATAATGCAAAATTTACTAAGAGTAGCGTTCGTTAATTTTATTAGAAACGTTTGAATCAATAAACAAATACAAACAATTATAAATATTAAAATTAACTTAAATAATAGTAGACATTAATTTAACAAAATTCATTTCTCTAAAATATAAAACTATATTTGTATAATAATATTTAATATACTAATAATAACGTATATTGCAAAAGTCATTTATGTGACTTAATTAATTATTAAATAAATTATTACAATAAAATATATTTCAAGTTTTGTTTTAAATTTGTAATGAAATTAACGTTACTCTTGGTTTTTCATAAATTTAACATTAACAAATGAATTTTTTTTTTCTAATATCTTCGTTGTCATTTTGTTTTGTTATTATGGAAAAAAAATTAGCCCATGGGTATCCTCTCGATTCTTGAAGAAGAATCTATGTTCCCGAAAGCCACTGACAAGACATTTGAAGAAAAATTGAACAACAATCACTTGGGCAAGAGTCCTAACTTCTTGAAACCTAAACCACCTAAACCAGGTCAACAACCGGCTCACTTTGCTATTGGCCATTATGCTGGCAACGTATGTTTTTTCTTTTTATATTACAATTAAAATACAATTATTATTAATATTACCATGAAAGAAAAAAAAAAAAAGATCAAATTGAACAACAATAATTGATAAAATTATTACAAATAAATTATTTAATTAAATTTAGTATAATTAAATTTATAAATTAGAATTTAATTGATAAATTCAATTTATAATTATTTCATAATTAAATTTATAAATTATATAAATCTGCAAAAATTATTACCAAAAAATTATAAACAAAAATTAGCATAATTGCTATAGTTTATGTCCAAATAATTATATATAATTTTTATTTAATACTTATCATAATTATAAATATAATCAAATCAAAAAATTCGTTCTTTCACTAAAATGGCAAATATTTGGTATATGTTGACATTCACCTTGATGAATTTTAATAAATAACAATTTTGATCTTTCACGGTAACATATCACAGAAAACATTTCCTATAAAATTGATACACCCACACATATATATAAACTAACATACTTATAACATATATACCTGAATGTTTTAGGTACCATACAACATCACTGGTTGGCTAGAAAAGAACAAGGATCCTCTGAACGACACTGTGGTAGATCAATTCAAAAAATCATCAAACAAATTGTTGGTCGAAATCTTTGCTGATCATCCCGGACAATCCGGTGATGCTGGTGGTGGTGGTGGTGGTGGCAAAGGTGGACGTGGTAAGAAGGGTGGTGGTTTCTCAACCGTATCATCGTCCTACAAGGAACAATTGAACAACCTGATGACCACCTTGAAAGCCACACAACCTCATTTCGTACGTTGTATCATTCCGAACGAAATGAAACAACCGGGTGTCATCGATTCACACTTGGTCATGCATCAGTTGACATGTAACGGTGTACTTGAAGGCATTCGTATCTGTCGTAAAGGATTCCCCAACAGAATGGTTTATCCTGACTTCAAATTACGGTAAGAATTTTGAATGTTTTTCTATCCGAAACAAAAGTTTCAACTAAAGGGATACCAAATAAGAAGATTAGTTCTCGTTTACGTATTGAAATAATTCATTTTCTTCTCGTTGGTATCCTTTTTTGTTTAAAACACATGACATTTACAATTAAAAATGTACGAACGTATTATTTTAATTAGTCCCCGCCCCTTTATATAGCGCGATCACTGATTGGTCGTCAAGATTAAAGAATAGATATGGGATTGGTCCCTGAGTAATTGCAGATTTTGCCGATAGATGGCCAATTGCTAACCTAAAATATTACATTTTTCTTTTCATTTTAGTTTAATTTTTCGTTACAAGATTAGTTTAGAATAATTGGTTAGTTTGTTTGTTTGTTTTTTTTATATATAAATGTAGTAAAACAATTCGTAAATTCAATGAAAAGTAAATAGAAGAAAAAAAAACGTTTAATCCTGTGGTCGAACAGTTACATGATCTTAGCACCGGCTACTATGGCAGCCCAAAAGGAACCAAAGGTTGCAGCTGCTAAATGTCTTGAAGAAGTTGGTCTAGATCCAGACAGCTATAGGATTGGTCATACAAAGGCTAGTTGATAAAACAAAACAAAAACAAAAAATGAGATTTGACCCTTTGACCCCCATATACCCCCCACATTTACCCCGATAGATTTCTTTTCGTGTTTTCTAAACAAAAAAAATAATTACTATATGAACACATAAATATTATTCCAATATTTTTTTGAATTATGATGAAAATTATCAATGCTTTCTTTGCAATTAATAATTGCAAGATTTTCCAATTATTTGGAATAAAAGTTAACAATTTTCATTCGTTAAATTGGAATAATAATTTCGTGTCATTTAGGATGATTATTTAAAAAAGAAAACAAAAAACAACAAAAAGAAATTTGAAATGAACGATTGAAAAGTCCCAACCCCTTTTTGCAACCCCCCTCAACCATCGTAGTAGTTTGAATTGAAACAGATCCGTTTGAAAAGTACCCCCTACCCTAAAAAAAAGACAAAAAGTAGGTTTTGAATTGTGTGATAGATGTTTATGGATCCTATATTTGTTGAGAATTCAATCCAATTAGAATTATCGTAGTTAATATAGTACCCTGATAGTAATTATGAAACCAAAAGAAACAAACCAATCATAATAAGACAAAGTATTTAGTAAGTTTGATCCCTGTAAGGTATTTTTGATTAATCCCAGTGTGACCCTTTTTATTACAACATCATCGTTGAGATGATGACACAAATTAGGGCCACCTATAAAGGGGAATGGAATGAGACCACAAGATGATGCAGAACTTAAACGAAATTTAGGAAACAACGGGATTTGTTAAAAACAAACTTATTATAGTTGTGTTTTATCCTAGTATTAATTGTTCCATAAACCTGTTTGTTTTTTCCCTCCCAACCTTTGGTGAACCCTAAAAACCCTTTAGGTACAAGATCTTGGCACCTGCAGCTGTTGATAAAGTCGCTGGAGATCCAAAGAAGGCTGCTGCTGCAATTTTGGAAAGTACTTCTCTCGATCCTGATCAGTACCGTCTTGGACATACCAAGGCACGTTTATCCCTGTATAAATGAAAATTAATCCAAGGATCTTGAACAAAATTGAACAACAACAAAATCACCTAAGAGTCGTTTGCTTAAATACAAAAAAAAAAAAAAAAACTAAAGGCAACAACGATTATTTCATTTTGTTTTATCTCAATGAAAATTTGTGTAGTTTATTTTTAAATAATTTTGGCAATTTATATTTAGTTAAATAACTGTAATATTTTGACTATTAATACATTTGACATGTTAAGTTATTTTTATCAATGGCATAAGGTTGACTTTATTTAATCTATGCCAAATAAATTAATTAAAATGTTTCGTAATATTTTGCTAAAATGATACAAAATTATTTATTTTTCTCGTTTTTTGATCGATGTTGCCTAGAGAAAAAAAATAGAAAAAAAAAAAATATATATATATATATATATATATATATAAAACGACTCGACAAGTGTTTATAGGATTATTTTATTAATAAACAAATAACAAACCTGCCGCCTACTCGTGATTGGTCCTATGAAGATGTAATATAACAAACGTATAATGCAAATATTTTTTTTTTTTTTCGAGAGAGAAATTACGCTTTATTATTATTATTAATTTTTTGTTTAATCTTCTATGTAATTTTATTTGAATTAAATAATTAGAAAAAAAAAAGGTGAAACGTTCTTCTCTCTCTCGAAAAAAAATGAATTGTCCTGTTGATTACTTTTTTAAAATATTAAATAATTTCAATTACGAAATGTCTGATTTATGTATCCAAAAAATTGATCAGACCTATTTCGTAATTGAATTATTTTTAATATTAATCAACATTATCATTTTTATCTTGTATAATTACAAACTGAAATCATAAAACAAACACAAAGCAGCATTTAAGACGCTGTCAAGATAAAAATCATTTGATTCTTCTAACAATATTTTTGTGATCAATTTTGTTTTGTTTTGTTTTGTTTGTTACGTGTATCCAATATCGCATATAAAAATGCAATTCACCCATACAACCAACGACGCGCAACCAACACAGATACAAAATTCTGTGCGCCAATGCCATCAAAGAACCATGCGAACCGTCAAAGGCAACTCAACTGATCCTGAACAGTATCAATTTGGAGCCTGACCAATATCGTTTGGGTCTTACCAAGGTACATGGGTTACCTTTGGGTCGTACCCCCACCCCAAACCCTTTTCGCAATTCTAACAGAATGTTAGAAAAACAATGGAATACAAATGAATTAAAAATAAAAATAAAAAAACCAACATGCTTTTTAATAATAATTCCCAAATTCGACTAATAACACCCATGCTATTTTATTCCTCATTCATTTCTCATGCTATTATTTAAACAACAATTTTATTCTTGCCTTTGTGTCGTGTGTTTGTGTATGTTTGTGCCAATTACAAAACAAAGTAATTTTGTCCATATCCAAACTTTTCTTTTTTTTTTATCATATTAATCATAATTATTGCTAACTAATACATCCATAGTTAATGCGCATTTATGATTGTCCAATTAAATGAAAAATATCCGTCACGAGTGTTGCACGATTTCATTGATTTATTCGTGAATTAAAAAAAAAAATACAACGTTCGTTGATTATTTTATCGATTAATTTTAAATTCAACTATTACATTTTTTTATGTTATATATTATTAATTAAAATTGTTTATAATAAAATACAACCAACACACAAGTAGTCAATTAAACGCAAAACAAATTTAAACAAATGTACAAAATTATACCAAAAAAAAAAATGATATTAACGATGAAACAATCAACGTACGTAACAAAAAAAAAAAAGAAGACTTTACTTTCTAAAATTATTATTTATGACTGACGAAATATGTTTTATACGATAATATATATAGGTATTCTTCCGTGCTGGAGTCTTGGGTCAGATGGAAGAACTTCGTGATGAACGTTTGAGCAAGATTGTATCATGGATGCAAGCTTACATTCGTGGTTATATCAGCCGTAAAGATTACAAAAAACTACAGGAACAACGTTTGGCACTCGTCATTGTACAAAGAAATTTGCGAAAGTATCTTCAACTGCGTACCTGGCCGTGGTGGAAATTATGGCAGAAGATCAAACCACTCCTCAATGCAACACGTATCGAGGACGAATTGGCTGTAAGTATGATTACAATTATTTTTACTTATTTAAAAAAAAAATATATACACATATTTGTACACCTTTTTATAGGTTAGGTTAAATATAACTCGTTAGTTAATATTTCATTAATATTAATAAAATTCATTCGTTAGTTTAAATGGTTGATTTAATACTCGACTTATTTTGTTCTTTTTTTTTTTTTATCGAATTGCCAACACATCACATGATAAACATTGATTTGTTTTTTTTTTTATGAAGAAACACCTAGTTTTGTTGTAAATCATAATACAACACACAAAATAATACAACAATTACAATACAATACATAAAATAATAATACATCAAAAAAAAATATAGAAAGTAAGGTTAGGTTTTCATATTTAAACCTGAAAAAACGTGAAATAATTGAGATTGTGTAATACAGCGCCATCTTTTGGAAATTTATAGAATCTAGAGAGTTTAGATAACCTTTGAATCATTAATAAATAATCTAAATTATGAAATTAGCAATAAACAATAAATAATCATCGTGATAAAAATTATCCTATATTCTAAATTGAAACAAATCAAATTAGATGAAAAAAATTTCATTAAAATTGGTTGAGTAGTTTTGAAATTATTAGCGGACAAACATATTGTGACACTGAATTTTTATATAAAGGCATATATATACATTTTTTAGATCCAGGTTAGATTAAATATAATAAATTAGTTAATATTTAATTAATATTAATAAATTATTAACAATTAATTGATACTCCACCCTTTTTTTTAATCAAATTTTCAACAAATTGGTGATAAACATTAAATTTTTTTTTTTAACAAAAATGTTTAATATTTAAAAATCGATGATTTAAAATAGAAAAAAAAGATGGTCGTGTTGTAAATTGAAGTATGGCTGATCCAGGTGATTCAAATTACTTTGATTACACAAATAATGTAAATGATTAGATTTATCATTGATATATATATGTATACATGTGTGTGTGAGTGTGTGTGTGTATATACACTAAACTTCAAAGAAACCAACGATTTCGGAATACCAAATGTCGATCAATTTTTGGAACACGGTTTTATAATCTTACGTTTAAAAAAATATACTTTTGAGAGAACCTGTCTGAAAATTTCTATTTTTTGTTTTTATTTCTTCTTCATTTTTAATTTTTTTTTTGTTTTTTGTTTTTTTTTTTCCAAGAGTTATAAGAAGTTTGTTACTTCTCATCTCAAGAATTTCATTTCATTTTTATGAAATATAATAATATTATTTTGTTGTTCAACGTTTCTTCGCGAAAACGAATAGAATATCGTTTGGCAAAGTTTATTTACACAAGTCAGTTTTTTCATTTTTTTTTTTTGAACTTCTCTTCATCCATTTTTGTTTCTGTTATATGTGTATCTTCGAATTTAACATTTAATTGCACATATTTTGCAAAAAAAAAAAAAAGAGATAAATAAATGACGAAAAAAGAATATAACGTATTTACATGTGTGTGTTTTGAGGTTAGATTATTTAAAAAACAAGAAATAAATTACGTATTTACATGTGTGTGTTTGAGGTTAGGTTATCAAAAAAAAAATCGAAGAAATAATAGACAAAATTGTGGCAAACTTTGTTCATACGAAAAAAAAAAAAAAGAAAATTGTTACGATAATTTTTGATATTCTTAGAAACGTGTTTGCTAAAAAGGCACACCCCCCTTTTTGCCTATTCTTATTCCATATTACGTGATCCAAAAATAGAGAAGGACATTTGGTGCATGAATCAGTTACACTTACTATGATTCCTTTCTCATCTATATAAACGTCACATTTCAGAAGGCATTGTCCGAAAATGAATGATCATTATTATTATTATTATTATCGTCGTCGTCTTACAATTAGTTGTCCTCGTCATCATTATAGAATACTAGAAATAAATTATTGAAGTCAAATGAGAGATTGATTTATATCTTGAATTGATCATTAGATATCTTTGTTCTATTTTTATTACGATCATTTTATTATTTATTATTTCACAATGACGTTTTTTTTTTTTTAAATTATATTCAATTATTTGATATTTAATTTTAATTAAATTAATTAATAAAAAATAATGAAAAGAATCATTTCAATTATTTGATTAAATAATACATGAAATGTGAAAGTTTGTTGTGAGATATTTCAATGAATATTAATTAATTTATTAATTTTTATTTTATAATTAATTATTATTATTAATTAGGATGATTAATGATCATCTATAAATGATTTTGTTTAATAATACTAGAGAGAAATCTAGAAACCTAGATATTTAAATAATTATAAATTATTCAAGAAGAAAAATATAACAGTTTTTAGGTTATGATCTGTAAAAGCAATGTTACTGTGACGATCTTTCAAATTATTTTATTAAATAATAAAACAAATCTCAAATTTAATATCAAAGATATTTAAATTAGTTTTAAAATAATTAAAAAATTGTTAATTATAATCAGTTAACAGAAAGTTGCTAATAATTATACATAAACTATTTAATTAAATAATATACGAAATTTGAAATCAGTAATATAAAATATTAACAAATATTAATTAAATTATTTCAAATGTAAAATAATAGAACAATTTAAAATCGGCTATCAAAAATATTTAAACAAGTATTAAATTAAAAATTTGAGGTTATAATCAATTAATACAAATTAATGATAATCTCAAATTAATTTAATTAAATAATACAAAAGAACTTAAGAATTATAATCAGTTAAAATAAGAGATGATGATGATGAAATAATAAAACAAATCGAAAATTTTGATATGAAAAATATTCAAACAAGTATTAAATTAAAAATTTGAGGTTATAGTCAATAATTACAAACTAATAATCATCTAAATTAATTTAATTAAATAATACAAAAAAACTTTAGAATATAAACAATATAAAATATTAATTAGAAAAATATGAAATTAATGAAACATTTTTAGGTTATAATCAGTTAATACAAAGTAATGATCATTCAAATGATATAATTAAATAATAAAAAGAACAAAAATCATTTTACTATTTTTACCAACAACAAAATCATTTGAAAAAAAAAAAAAACAAAAAAAACAATCAATTAATCCCCAAAAAGAATATTCAGAAATGTAGATGGGAAAGTTGATCTGCAATGATTGACCTGCTGGAAGCTAAAATGAGATGAAACAGAGAAAGAGAAAGAGAGATTTGATTCTGGAAGACATTGCTGGCCCTTCCGGGGAACATGGTCGTTTCTAAATTTGTCGATTTGGTTTCTCTGTGAGTCTCTCTCTCTCTCTCTCTCTCTCACACACACACACACACACACACTCTTTTGGTCTCTTTTTGCTACCCTATCCCTACTACCATTCCCATCATCGGAAGAGGAGAGAACCGTTCTAAATATTTTTATACGAAGATACACCGCTGGAGTGGTGGTGGGGGGAGGAACGGGTGGAACTTGAACCAAGCCAATTGGATACGAGGAGGATTTTGGGTAGAAAAGTTGAGCATCGGGTAAACGAGAATCCAGTTGGATACGCGAACTCGTTCCGACCTTTTCGAAATAGAAGAAATTTAATATCTTACTGATATAAAACGAAAACGAACGCGTACGCACACATACGCACGAACACACACACACACACTCATATATATTTATACGTATATATTTCGATTTAATAAGAAAAGATTTCTTTTCTTAACGATATTTTCACGAATAATATTTTCTTCTTTTTCATTTATTTCATATTTTTGTTTTTTTTTGTTTTTTTTTTTTTAATTTTATTTAAATTTGTTCCCGTATTCCGAGTGTTGAATTCAAAATGGGCGACACTGTGATATTGGAAAATACGAAAACGTTGATTAACGGCGAACGATTAGACGGTGAATTGCAATTACAGGCACTCGAGGAAAAAGCCAAAAAAGCTCAAGAAGCATTCGAAAGGGAAGAGAAACTTCGCAAGGAACTCGAGGAACAAAATGTCAAAATTACCGCCGAAAGGAACGCATTGCAAAAGCAATTGGACGGCGAAAAGGGTTCGCTTTCGGAATACATGGAAAAATCATTGAAATTGGCTGCCCAAAAAGCTGACATCGAATCCCAACTTCAAGTAAGTTTTTTAATATTATAAATATTTTTAATTATTTATTTAAAAAATTACCGATCTTTCTGAATCAAATTTTAAAACAATGAATAATTAATTGAAGAATTTGTTCAAGTGTTTCTGATAAATTGTAGGAATCAATCAGTAGAAGAAATCAATCATTAATCGAACATATTTTTTACAACAAATAATAATCTCAATGAAGATTCAGTTGTTGATAAATTTTGAAATTTGTAGAAACGTTTTCTTGATACCTATAGGAATAAACTAGTAAAAGAGCCAAGGAATTTGTCAGACATACATTTTTTATAAAAAATATTCATTTAAATTGAGAATTTCAGCTGTTTATAAATTTTGAAATTTGAATTAAGAATAAAACTAGTAGAAGAACTCAACCATTAATCGGGCAAAAATATATAATTCAAATAAAAACGCAGCTGTGTTGATTAATTATGAAATTCGTAGTAAACGTTGCTAATTAGGAGTAGTAGAACTCAAGCATTAATCGGGCACATTTCTAACATTTTTAATAAAAATATAATTATAAAATGAAAATGCAGCTGTTAGCTGATAGCTTTAGGAATAAACTAGTAGTAGAGCCAAGGAATTAGTCAGCTTAATTTTAATAAAGATCTTTTGAAGAAAATCAAGTAATAATTTAAAAAAAAAAAAAAAAAAAAAAACATATAAAAACAGGAAAGATCAAATTTGACACGCAAGTATGAGAAGCCAAAGATTGTGCCCCAAGTGTGTTGATTTGGATGATCAAGTAGGTGGTGTTTGTGATGATTTAGTGGTAGTGGTAATGGTAATAAGTAGAGTAGGTATGGCATTAGTCAGACACATCCTCCGCTTTTTCAGTTAGCACAGAGAGGAGGGCCATTTTTCTTTTGACGATACGAGTCATCCGATTACATCGACTCATATTCGGTCTCATTTATAAAAGCGCATTCTAAAATTATTCCCCACAACGATTTATAATCTGACACGTGCTTTTAATCCTATTAAAAATCTCCATTTCTTTTTTTAAAAATAAGAATAGAAAAAGAGAAATCCAAAAATTGTTTGTGTGCAATAATTTGTTTTGGAGAAAAATAGATGACTTCCTTCCAGGAACACGGATGGTTAGGTTTGGTTTCTAAAATGAATGTGTAGGGAAGAAGAAGAAAAAAAAAAAAGAAGAAAAAAAAGAGACAATTTTATGATCGTGCACAACCCACTCCAGCATTCCATACTAAATCTATTTTTATCAAAAGACATTCGATTTTTCTCTCAACACTTCTCGTTGCTGGATGATTTCTCAACTTGAAATTCTTTTATTTCAAATCTCGACCTTTATCGATCAATCTTAAGAATCGATATCGATTTATTAATCATCTTATGGTTACATAACCTTAAAATCTTTAGTAAAACTAAACGAATTCAATGTAATTATTGAATCAACGATTAATTAATGATCAAAATATTAATAACAATAACGGTAAACAGTAGTAATAGTAAAAATTCAACATTTTCTTAATGGAATGAGAGTGAGAGAGAGGAAAAAAAGATGGAGAGTTTAGTAATGTTTCGTTGCTGAAAATATAAGTGACTCCATTTACGGGCAGGAGGAAGGAAAATGGGGTGAAAGAGGGAGAAATGAGAGAAATATAGGAAGAAGTAGGAGAAGGATGAAAAGAGGAAGGGGGGATAATCTTCTCTCTCTCTCTCTCTCTCTCTCTCACTCTGTTTCTTTCTGAAAGAGTATTTTGCCTTCTGACTTCCTCCCGTTCCAAATTTAGACCCCGAACGATCCCAGATTCCAGGTTATTAAAAGAGGGCGTGGCAGTTACGTGCCTGGAAGAAGACGAGAAAACGAAGTAGGAGGATATAACAGGTGTAGGGTATTTATACTTTTGGGTTAGGTGTTTAAATGTATGCGTCATTTACCAAGTCATCTTCATCATCGTTATCCTCGTCATCATCGTTGATCCCCCTTTCATATCTTCTTCTTTCTCACACTAGTTATGTGAAGAATTTTTTTTTTTCTTATCCAAACCCCGAAATGATGCACTTGGCATCATCTTCCATCTAAACTACGAAATCATTCCTTCGTACTAAGAGTTTGCGAGTATGATGTACGACGATAGATGGCTTGAAGATGATCATGCCAAAATAAATTTACTTCTTCTTTCTCTCTTGAAATTTTCTGTCTTCTACAATTAATTCTAACCCCGTTACATAACTTTAGATAAGTCATCATGTGTCACGAGGTTTAGTAACCTGGACTCATTGATTATGATGATGATGATGACGATGACGATGAATCAAATGAAATAATTAGCATTCCTTATGATCAATCTTGACGTAATCCTAGAATTAGGTTTAGCACAATTAACTTTTGTTTAATTTAATATAAATTTTTCTTGCCATGTTGAACAATTTGTTTTTTTGTTAATTACTTATTTCAAAACAATTTACAATATTTGTATCGGTTATAAAAATATTGATTCATCTTCACCACTAATGGATACAATCAAAATACAATTTTGAAAAATATTGTAATTACGAAATGGAAAATATTTTTATAAACAAATGACAACGATACAATTGAACAATAAAAACAAATTTCATTTGCATCCTAATATATTATTGATTGAAAATTTGAAAGAAAGATCGTAAATAAAAGTTGAATCGAACGTTAAGTGAGGTTATGTGTCTTTGACATATATTAAATTTATTATTATTGTTCTAATTGAATGTTATTTATTATTTCATAGGATCTCAACGACAGGTTCAAGGAAGAGGAAGACGCTAGGAACAATTTATTCCAAAATAAGAAGAAACTCGAGCAAGAGGTTGCCGGTTTGAAGAAAGACATTGAAGATCTCGAATTGAATCTTCAAAAATCTGAACAGGACAAAGCTACGAAAGATCATCAAATTCGTAATTTGAACGACGAGATTGCTCATCAAGATGAATTAATCAACAAATTGAACAAGGAAAAGAAGAACCAAGGTGAAATCAATCAGAAAACGGCTGAAGAACTTCAAGCTGCTGAAGACAAGGTCAATCACCTGAACAAAGTTAAGATCAAGCTTGAACAAACATTAGACGAGCTTGAGGATTCTTTGGAACGTGAAAAGAAATCTCGGTAAGAGATTCATACGATTATTTTCATTTTGTTTTTTCTTTAATTACACGAACGAGTTTTTAATCTTTTGTTTTTTTTTTTTAATTAATTTGTTTAGCGCCGACGTTGAAAAGGCAAAGAGGAAGGTAGAAGGTGATTTGAAATTGACCCAAGAAGCCGTAGCCGATTTGGAAAGGAACAAGAAAGAATTGGAACAAACTATTCAACGCAAAGACAAGGAACTCTCATCGCTGGCTGCCAAATTGGAAGATGAACAATCGTTAGTTGGAAAACTTCAGAAACAGATCAAGGAACTCCAAGCAAGAATCGAAGAACTCGAAGAAGAGGTAAGAATCAATTTGAAAAAAAAAACCAAAGTTTACTTATTTATTATTATATAAGTGTACTTTTATGCTAAAATAATATGATTCGTAATGAAATTAACCTGGGATCCTAAATAACTCAATGGATAAAACAGTTAATCTAAAAAAAAAACAAACAAACAACCAAAGTTTCGTATTCTGGTCCAGTTCCGTGGTTCAATTTTTACGAATCTTACTTAAATAAAAACAATCGTTCATGTATAGAAAAATAAATGAAGATAAAATTGTTTTGTAAAAATCAAACAGATCGAAGCAGAACGCGGAGCACGTGGCAAAGCAGAAAAACAACGAAGCGACCTTGCACGAGAATTGGAAGAACTTGGCGAACGTCTCGAGGAAGCTGGTGGAGCTACCTCAGCACAAATCGAATTGAACAAGAAGAGAGAAGCCGAACTTAGCAAATTGAGGAGAGATCTTGAAGAAGCTAATATCCAACATGAAGCTTCACTCGCCAGCTTGCGTAAGAAGCACAACGATGCAGTTGCCGAAATGGGAGAACAAATTGATACGCTTAACAAGTTGAAGGCTAGGTAAGAACACTGATGAACATAACTTAACAACAATTTCAGATAAAACAATACAACTCATCAAAGAATACACGATACAATATGACAATTTAGGAAACCCTGTTAGAAATCATTTGTGTTTTATTTTTTACGAGAATTATTGTCAGGACTAGTAGTAACTTAAAGTTTTTGATAGGGCCGAAAAGGGCCGTCATGACATCCACGCCGAGCTGAATAATTCTCGTGCCTCGACGGATCAAGTTTCTAGGGAGAAGGTACATTCAGAACAAAAAAAAAACAAAATTGCAACGAGATATAAATGTCTGTGCTAATAACGTGACCAGTTTTCTTCATCTTCTGATTTTTCTTTTTTTTTTGTTGGCCCCTCTTACGTGTATTTTTCAGAATATTCCAAAATGAAGAAAAAACGTGTATTGTTTTTCCACAAATAATTGTCCACGATGCACGACGAACCCAACGTTTATAATCTTTACAATAATCAAAAACAAAATTAGATATTTCTGAATAAATTAATCGAAGAATTAACTGGACAATTCAAATATTAAAACAGGTAAAAAAAACCCCAAGTTCGAGTCCCAATAAAGGGTGTCCAGTCAATCCAACGATTAATTTTATTTTCACAATATTTTTCAATTGTTTTTTTCTTTTGTGTTGACAATATTAACTTAACCTTCCTGTTTTTTAAATCTTTTCCATAATCAAAATAGGACCGAAAAAGAAAAGGTTCAATACTTCAGCGAGTTGAACGACCTTCGTGCCACGGTTGATCACCTGAGTAACGAAAAGGTAAGGTAAACCCTTTTGTAATCCTTTATCCTAGCGTATAATTGAATACGCGCAACCCTAATGCAAAAAATAACAGCTTTGCCAAGCAGCTTACAAGGAAGGATGGAAAATATGGAAAGGGGAATGATTTATATGGTGGTACACCATAGGATGATTGAAATCATTTGAGTGAGTGAACCTCGAATGCATTATGCTTGTTTATACATTTTAACATTGCTTGCTTTTTGCTTATTATAATATTAAACCCTTAGTGATCATTAAAAGTGTCAATTTGATCCCAAAAATTACAAATCTGACTAAACAGGTTTAAAGACTTTTTAAAGTTTTTTTTTTTTTTATTTAAAAGTACATAGTTGTTTAAATATTATCTGGGATCAAATTGACACTGGGTTAACAAGTTTTTTGAAAGTAAAAATTAAAATTGAACGATGTATAACCGTAATGCATTTAAACAGGCTGCCCAAGAAAAGATCGTGAAACAATTGCAACACCAATTGAACGAGACCTCTGGCAAATTGGAAGAAGTCAATCGTACATTGAACGATTTCGATGCTGCCAAGAAGAAATTGTCCATTGAAAACAGCGACTTGTTGCGTCAATTGGAAGAAGCCGAATCTCAGGTTAGCCAATTGTCGAAGATCAAGATCTCATTGACGACACAATTGGAAGATACCAAGAGACTTGCCGATGAAGAATCCCGTGAACGTGCAACATTACTCGGCAAATTCCGTAATTTGGAACACGATTTGGATAACATTCGTGAACAAGTTGAGGAAGAGGCCGAAGGTAAAGCTGATCTTCAAAGACAATTGAGCAAGGCCAATGCCGAGGCACAATTGTGGCGTACGAAATACGAATCCGAGGGTGTGGCAAGAGCCGAAGAACTCGAGGAAGCCAAACGAAAATTACAAGCACGTCTTGCTGAAGCTGAAGAAACAATCGAATCGTTGAATCAAAAGGTCATTGCTCTTGAGAAAACGAAACAGAGGTTATCGACCGAAGTCGAGGATCTTCAAATCGAAGTTGATCGTGCAACTGCCATTGCCAATGCAGCTGAAAAGAAACAGAAAGCATTCGACAAGATCATTGGAGAATGGAAACTCAAAGTTGATGATCTTGCTGCCGAATTGGATGCCAGTCAAAAGGAATGTCGCAATTACAGTACTGAACTCTTCAGGCTCAGAGGTAAATTATTATTATTCTTTTTTCTAATTTTAATTAGTAATAAAAAATAAATAATAATTGCGATATACAAACTATTCTATATTCTAAGTTGAAACAAATTACACAAAATAAAACAAAATTTCATTAAGATCGGTTAAATAGTTTCGGATTTATTAGTGGACAAACATATTATGACACTGAATTTTTATATATAAACATGCTATCATTGAATGAACATGTCTGAGTGTACCATTTATGAAACACATAGCCTGATACTCAAGTTGAAAACGTGTTAATAAAATATTCACTTTATACGTGTCCCTATAAACAAATATTACATATATATGTGTACAGGTGCTTACGAGGAGAGCCAAGAACAATTGGAAGCTGTACGTCGTGAGAACAAGAACCTTGCCGATGAGGTGAAAGATCTTTTGGATCAAATAGGCGAAGGTGGACGTAACATTCACGAAATTGAAAAAGCAAGGAAACGTTTGGAAGCTGAGAAGGATGAATTACAAGCAGCATTGGAAGAAGCTGAAGCTGCATTAGAACAAGAAGAAAACAAGGTGCTAAGAAGCCAATTGGAATTGAGCCAAGTTAGACAAGAAATTGATCGTCGCATACAAGAGAAGGAGGAAGAATTTGAGAACACAAGGAAGAATCATCAACGAGCTCTTGATTCCATGCAAGCTTCACTCGAAGCAGAAGCTAAGGTATGTGTAAATTAGGATAGAAATTTAAAAGAAAATGAAGCTTAATTGAATAATTAAAAAGAAAATAGGGGCACAGCTTTATTTTCAATCAGCCCAATTTAAACTTGTTCTAACGAACACCCAATTACAATTTCTGAAATAAAAAACAAAATCTCTTATTGTTAAATTCCAGGGCAAAGCTGAGGCACTTCGCATGAAGAAGAAATTGGAAGCTGACATTAACGAATTAGAAATAGCATTGGATCATGCTAACAAAGCTAACGCTGAGGCTCAGAAGAATATCAAGAGATATCAACAACAATTGAAGGACGTACAAACTGCATTGGAGGAAGAACAACGTGCACGTGACGAGGCTAGAGAATTACTTGGTATTTCTGAACGTCGTGCTAATGCATTGCAAAATGAATTGGAAGAAAGCCGTACGCTATTGGAACAAGCCGATCGCGGACGTAGACAAGCTGAACAAGAATTGGCTGATTGTCACGAACAATTGAACGACCTCAGTGCTCAGAATGCATCCATCTCAGCTGCCAAGAGGAAACTCGAAGCTGAATTGCAGACCCTACATGTAAATATTCAAACATTAATCATTCATTTGAAAAATTTGTGAAGCTATAAAAACAAAATTAATATTTGTTTATTTTTGTTTAGTCTGATCTCGATGAACTTCTGAACGAAGCCAAGAACTCCGAAGAAAAAGCAAAGAAGGCAATGGTAGATGCCGCCCGATTGGCTGACGAACTTAGAGCCGAACAAGATCATGCTCAAACTCAAGAGAAACTTCGCAAAGCATTGGAGACACAGATCAAGGAACTCCAAGTACGTCTTGACGAAGCTGAAGCTAACGCATTGAAGGGTGGTAAGAAGGCCATACAGAAATTGGAACAACGCGTACGTGAATTGGAGAACGAACTTGATGGTGAACAAAGGAGACACGCCGATGCTCAGAAGAACCTACGCAAATCTGAACGACGCATCAAGGAACTTAGCTTCCAGGTATGGTTGTTAGTTTTATTAATTTGTATCATTAATGTGTATATATATATATGTCACTGTGAAATCCCAAAATTGGGGAATGTCAACATTCACCAGGATGAATGTCAGTATATACCAAATATTACTATATATATCAAACGACAAGGTGAATCTTGACCTTCTCCAATTTCACCTAAGTGGAAAAAGTTAAGAAACAAACTTATATTACTTTTTACCAAAGTCAAATCAATGAAGTCAAATAAATTCAACTTTTAGTAACAACTCGTATACAAAACTGTAGACAATAATTAATCCAATGGAATTTGGTTGGTTGACAATACTCAATGGATTTGTTTGATTTGTTTCTTTCACTTTTGTTTTAGGCTGATGAGGATCGCAAGAATCACGAACGCATGCAAGACCTAGTTGACAAGCTTCAACAGAAGATCAAGACGTACAAGAGGCAGATCGAGGAAGCCGAAGAAATTGCCGCATTGAATCTTGCCAAGTTCCGTAAAGCTCAGCAAGAACTCGAGGAAGCCGAAGAGAGAGCCGATTTGGCTGAACAAGCTATCACCAAATTCCGCACTAAAGGTCGCGGTGGAAGTGCTGCACGCGGATTGAGCCCAGCGGTAAGATAACAATTTTATTTTTTATCATTTACCTAAAGTTCCTGTTTAAAACGATTCAATTTCCTTTAAAAACTTCACATCATACCCCCCAAAAAGAGAGACAAGAATCCCTTCACCCTTTCCCACCACCCCCATAGATCGGGTGTACTCAACCGTTTACTTTCTTGGGTTCGTTTAACGAACTTCTACGTTCGTTTGTTAAATCAAACGAACCCCAAATGGAACACAATAGGAGTCTTTAATGCTGGGAAAATTGTGGGATGTAAAACAAATGGATTCTAATGATTAAAATGATGATGATGAAAAAAAAAAGTAACAAATGAAAAATCAATAAGCGTACACCTACCAGGTACATGTTTGATGATTTGCCTGGTCAACTTGCAGCCCGCATTTTGCCCCATACAGGTTGAGTATGACCGTTGTAGAGGTTAGGTTATGTTTGGTTAGGTTTTATTCCCTTCTACAAAAAATGTTTTCTCTTTAAACACGATCACAACATCATTTGAATCATAGTAAAAAGAAAAATATATATCTTTAATTCTGTGTCCCTGTATAGCCGCAACAGAAGGCCCGCAAGGCGCCTTCCGCGATGGAGTAAAAACACTGCGTTGCTGGTCCATGTAAGTCCAGTTGTGATGAGAACATGAAAAAGATAACTTTTCTTTTTTTTTTCTCACCAATATATATGGGAGAAAAGAAAACAACGAGATTATAAACGTTTAATAAATGTTTATTTTCTTAATTTTTTTTTTTTTTTTTTTGATTGTATACGTCAAAAGGTTAAACACAACTAGACCCAAAAATATTAGAATTTAATATCCCAACGAAAAAATACTATATACGAATTTTTCTGCCCAAACCCTTTACCCCTAAAACCCATCATCATTTTTTGTTGTGGTTGTCCCTCACCGTAATTTATTAAATTACAAGAGATAAATAACATTTGTCATCGGCAAATAAAAAAATATTTTTTTTTTTTAGATTTCTTCGTTTATTAACTTCGTTATTAATTCATCCCTCCTGATTCATCTTATTACTTTTTTTTTGTTTTGTTTATTTTTCATGACATAATAATAATAATAATAATAATAATAATAATAATTACATAAATGTTTTTCTTTTTTGAAGGTGTAGAGAAAAATAAACGGGAAGAAATTTTTGGTTTTTTTATTATTAGAAACGTTGCTAAAATAGAAATAGTAACATTGAGGTTATGTTCACGATTTTTCAAAGATTTTTTCCAATATGTTCGTGTTCATAATTTTAGTAACACATAATATAATAATAATAATAATAATGTTATAAAAGTTTTTTTTTTTAAGGTGTAGAGAAAAATATAAAGGAGAGAAATTTTTGGTTTTTTTTCGTAAAAACGTTGCTAAAATAGAAACAAAAACATTGAGGTTATGTTAATGATTGTTCCAAGTTTTATTCTATCCAATATGTCCATGTTCATAGTTTTAGTAACACGTAATAATAATAATCATAATAATAATAATAATAATTGTTAAATAATATAATATAGTTGTTATTTTGATGTATTATGGAAAAAGGAGATTAGGACATCCTCCTTTGTGAAAAGATTTGAATTTGAATTTGAATTTAATTATCTTCTTCTTTTTTGTTTCTTTTTATATTTATAATTATATTTTTTGTTTTTTTTTTTTTAATCTTTCTGTGTCTTCGTTGAGTGGTCTGTCATAGCTATAGCATTATTAATTAATTAATATAAATTAATTAATTAGAAAAAATTATAATAATGTTGGAAAGGTGATATAAACAAACTGCACAAAACAACGTGCAATAACTAAAGTGACCATTAATATTTAATTATTATTTTTATAAATACGATTGTTAATTTTTGATCATTGATTTGGATTAATTGTTAAACTTATTCCAATAAATTTTAAAAAATTATAAACAAACAAAAAATATGGAAACAAATACGTACAATTATATTTAATGACACTAAACAATTTGCAAAACGAAAAGTTCAATGCAAGAATACGTGAATCAAATATTTATTGTTATTGTTTTTTTTTTTTATTGCAAAATTACTTTCCATAATTTATAATAAATGTGTTATCCGAATCATACGAAAAATAATTTATTAATGTACAATCTGAAGAACAAAAAAAGAATAACGTGAAAGAATCTTTTGTTACAAACAAACAAAAAATTCTCAAAAAAAATGAAAAAAAAAAAAAATGGTCACCTTAGCAATGAAGTATCCCTTTCTATTGCAATAATATTCGTAAAATAAAACCAAAAAAAAAATGGAAAAAAAATAAAATAATAAAAAAAAAAAGAAGAAATGCAAAGAAAGACTTGTAATAATAAAAAAAAAATTAAATACTCGTTAATTGTTTTTAAATTGTTTATTTATATTGTGATAATATGTGTTCATATAAAGATTTTGCACTTCAAATTGACCCTTCAAGCCCATCTTCCCAGTCCCAACCAATTAAATTACATTCCTGATTCATATAACCTCAAAAACAAAAGAGTTCAACAACGAACAAAAAACATTGAGATTTATTTGAAGTGAAAAATCTTGATATCCATTAATTTTTGTAATAATAATTATTATTGTTAAATAGTTGTTAATTGTTGTTTTGTTTCTTTTTACAGCCACACCGACCTGCGTTCAAGCCCCAGTTCGATGGTTCCGCATTCCCACCACGCTTCGACCTACAGCCCGATGGTGATTTGTAAAGATCGTGATGAAGAATTTGAATTAAACCCAAACAAACAACAAACAACAACAATTAAATATCGTCCATAAATTTTTAATCGCAAGAAAAAAATGATAGAAAACAAACAACAACAAAACAAAACAAAATGATGATCGAGTACGTGAGAAAAATAATTTTTATTAATCATTGATAATTTGGCATCGTCGTCTCATCGTTTAATGTTTTTTTTTTCTTTTTTAAATTAATTAATCAATTAATTATTAATTAATAATAATGATAGATTTCTATTGGAAAATCTATTATATAATTACTTTTACAAAATATAATATAATATATATATATATGCCATTGTGCAATTACTTTCAAATTCATTGGAAGCTAAATTTAAACGATATTGTTAATTTAAATAAAATTTAATTAAAAAAAAAAAAAAATAGAATAGAAAAAAAAAATTAACTCGTTGAATTTAAGGAAAAAAAACAAAAACAAAACAAACAAATAAAGGGTCGGGGAAAAGAGAAAGAAAATTTCATTGGAAATTAATTATATCCATGCTTGAAACCATTTTTCAAAAAAAAAAATATTAACAAATGATATAAAAAAAGATTTTTGAGAAGAAACAAAGGAAGAAGAAGCAAACAAAAATAGAAGAAGATCTACTTCGAGCTGTGAGGGTCGAGGAAGGTAGAGAATGAGAGTGAGTGAGAGAGAGAGAAAGAGAGATAAATGACGCATGAAAGTGTGGGAGAGAAAGGGACAAAAAAAAAAGATAGAAAGAAACCAAAAAAATAAAAAACAGGAACTTTACGAACATAGAAAACAATGAGGAGGCGTGACCCACAAACGAGAGATATTTGTGTTATATTTACATACATAATATACATATAATATCGTACATATACATATAAAACCCTTTTAAACATACAATCTTATGTTATGTCAAAAAACTAAGTAAAAATAACACACATATCTCTTAAATGTACAACAACGCAATAATTACAAAAAAAAAAAAACATAAAACTAAAAAATGGATGTCGAGGATAACGAGAATATTAAAAAAAAAAATTCTATATATATATTATATATAAATTTAAAAAAAAGTAAAAAAAAAAATAAATATATATATATATAAACACACACACACGAACGACGAAACGATATACTTGATGGAGACCGCCTTAATCGATCGATGCTTGATGAAGAAAAAAAAAAAAAGAATAAAAAGAACAATCAAGTCTTTAAAAATATTATCTCATGGCACCGATCATCCGGACGATTATCCTATCTCCTATAAACTTAATTGTAATTTATAAAGAGAGACCGAAGTATGTATTTATTAAAGTAAATAAGCAATAAATAAAGTTAAGAAAAAAAATTAAAAAAAGGTTTTGTTTCTTCTATTTGACTATTGAATTAGGATAAGAGTTTATTTATATAACAGAAATTGATTTATTTATTTCTCCTAGTTTTATTTACAGAAAAGATCGTTATTTGTTTTTCTTTTGAAATTTGTACGAATCTACTTTACCGATTGGAATCTACTTCGTCAATAATTTACCGACATAAACTTGGATTAAAATTAAAAAAAAAAAAAATTACAATTACATGTGTTTTATCTGTGATTAATTTTAGATTCTGTACGAGCATGTTTGATTTGTCCTTTCAAAAGTTTAGGATAAAAGTTTAATTTATAATAAAAATTTATTTATTTATTTTTCAATGTTTTATTTATAGTAACACTGTTTAAAAACAAAAAGAACGTTTTTTAATTCCTACAAATCTACCTTACCGATTGAAAGTTTCTACGTTGATAAGTTACTAATATAAATTTGTATTAAAATAATACATGTGTTATCTGTAATTAATTTTAGATTCTGTACGAGCCAATTGTTGAAATTGTCCTTTAACAAGTTCCCATTGTGTCCATTTGTCAGTATTAATACCAAATTCTTGACAAGTTTGTAAAAATGCCGGCATGGCTAAACTTAAATAAGAATGATCGACACTAGGTAATAAATGATGTAAACTATGTGAACCAAAATTAGTTAAAATTAATAGAGTACTATCATCAATAACTTTACGATCTCTAACAGCATCCAATTCGAATAGACCCCAATCCAAATTTTGTCTGAAATCAATAACTCAAATTTTAAAATTGAATTTTTTAAATTATAACCTAATTTCAAAAAAAAAAAACAAAAAAAAAACAGAAAAATACAAACCGACAAATATCCCCATCGTGAAATATACTTGGATGATGATGAGCAGCATTGAGTCCGATAAAATTGAACAAAGTGCTACTTATCAACAAAATTATTATCCAAGTTTTAATTGCAATTAATACATTTGGGGCAAAAAGTGACATAACAATTGGAAGAAAAAATGGAATTATATCTCTAAATTCAAAAGTTTTATATTCCCATATCACTGAATAATACCTAAAGAGAAAAAACAAGAAACATCAGATAACAATTTAAAAAGTTAGGTTATCTTTAAATATATTTTAATTTACCTTTTAATTCCTTGAACAAGAAATACCAGAGTATAAGTTATAGGTGTAAGAATATAAGATAAAATTATTTTCAAGATACTTTTGCTTTTATCAGGTAACCAATTAAACATCGGTTCAAAAGCATAAATCTCATAATCCCAAATGGTATTTGGATAAAGATGGTGGCTCATGGCGTGCGTTATTCGCCATTCTTTCGATGACATACAACTAATATCGAAATAATACATACGAAAATTATCCCTCATATGAAAATAATTATGACCAATGACCGTAGTCCATGATACAAATGCACCTAAAAATGATAAATGATATATAATCACACACGCAAGAAATAAAAAAATTGTAAAATATTATTCGTGTCTGATGTACAGGACATTTCAAGTTTTTTTTTTATTTTTTTTTTTTTACTTTTTTGATCAAACTTTGAAAGTTTATTTTACCAGCAAGAATCGTCACGAGAAATTTCCAATATGATTGAAAATAAACAGAAGCTAAGCATAATAAAATTGTAATGGTAAAATAGGTATCAGCAATGAGATTAGAATTCAATGATGGCCGATGAAAATCAACATTTTTCAGAGCTTCCAATGCACGTTTCTTAAAAGTACGATAAAAACCATTAGGTTCAAAGGTTAATGGTATTGTTCTGGGTACAGTTGCGTCACGAATGTAAAATTTGGGTAACATTCTTTCCGCTTTATCGGTCAAATGATGTGCCTAAAATTAAATAAATATTATTTTATAATTTTTTGGTTTCGATTGATTAACCATAAAAAAAATACTGCTATGCACGTTAAATGAAGTTCCAAATGAAATTTGTTTATTCATGTATCTTTAGGATATATTTATCCATTAATTTATAATAAAATATATAAAAAAATCCAATTGATAATAAATAATGTTGAATTAAAAAAAAAAAAAAACATTAAAATTAACAAATAAGATTGAATTAAATTAAAATTACAAATTTAAAATGAAAAAATTCGATTAAATTGATTTTGAAATTACAAAAACATTGAAATACTTAAGAAATAATACTTAAGATTAATAATTATAAAAGAAGAAAATTATTTATATTTAATTGATATGATAATAATTAATAATTGTTAATTTAAATTAATATTATTATTAATTTTAATCATTATTTGTATAAAATTAAATATAAACACGTTCATAATCAAAACGTGATAATTTTGATGTTACTCGTTACTCGGTCACTAAAGATAATAAAATATATAAAAATTAGATTGATATTATCGAATTAAAAAACATTGAAATAAATAAGATTTAATTAAATTAACATTACAAATTACAAAAAAACAAAAAAGATTAAATTGATAAAAAAAATTACGAAAACATTGAAAATAATAATTAAGATTAATAATAATAAAAGATAAAAATTATTTATATTTAATTTATATGATAATAATTAATAATTGTTTATTTATTTTAATATTATTATTATTATTATTCATTTAAATCATTATTTGACGTTACTACTAAAATCAAATGAAATTGAACATATCTTATTTCACATAAATAATATTATCATTTACAGTACAATCTTATCACAAATAAAACACGAAAAAATAAATAACTTAAATAAAAAACCTTATAAAACATTTAAATAATTTATAAAAAATTTCACAATGAATTCGAACCTTTTTTTTTTTGACTGTTGTGAATAAACATTTATCTTTTAATTTAATTTTAATATAATTCCTATTTCTTAATTTATGAATTAATTATCATAAAATAATAAATGAAAACTATTTGATTCTACTCATATAATTAAATAATTAATTAAAATTTATATACGAATAAAAAATTTGAAGATTATGTTTTAGAAATTAGCTAAGAAAATCAACTTTGATATTTTAATAAATATTTTTAAAATTATATAATATTAAAATATGACAAATCTCATCTCAAATTTACACGTAACGTGTGTCACAGTTTTTATTTTATTTTTTTTTTTTTTTTTGTAAATTAATAATCGAAAAAAAAAGAAAGTATAAAAAAGAAAAAATGAAAGCTTACCTCAAAAGCTTCAGTAATATCAGTACCTTTGGTAAGATTAATCCATTCAGCACCACCGGGATGTGATTTAGCAAAATTTGTTAAATCGTATAAACCATTTCTTATTCTCCAAAGTCCTTCGGCACCATCTTGTTTAATTCGACCTTTTAAAAATTCATAGGCTGTCTTTATCATGTCATCTCGTGCCAATGGATAAACCAAACCAGGTATTGAACTTTTCAATTTTGCCTTATTCGACATTTTCGTATTTTTTTTATTTATATTTTACCGAATATTTATAGCTAAAAAGCTAATGTCAAAATTGTATTATTAAATTTTATTAATATAGTCAAAAAAAAAAAGGTTTAATTCCCAAAAAATATAATCTAACAAAAAAAAAAAAGAAAGAGGAATAAAAAAATAGAGAATAAGAAACAATTTTAATTAAACGATCGTAGAAACGTTTGTTCACTGAATTCTAACATCGTTTAATAACTCGTATATATATATCTATCTATATATATTTGGAGAGAGAGTGGTCTGCAAAAGAGCAAAGGTCAAAGTCGGATATTAAGAGTAAGCCGTTAGGAATACCAAATAAAAATTTCAGTCTTTATTGAATCTTGTAAGTTAATTTCTGTTCTCTAGTCGCTATCTCAATCGAATTCGAACTGAACGTCGTTCGGCTAAATTCGGCCCGGGGGGATCGGGCCCCCGGCGCGGTGCCCGTCTCGGACGACCGCGGCACTGCTGAGCGCGCACCGCCACATAAATATATATATATATATATATATAATTGAATAAACTGAACTGTTTTATAAGAAAAGAAAAACTTATCAAGACGAGAACGAAGTAGTAAGTAAATATGCTATAATAAATCGGGGAAATCTTAAAGCAAGAATAAATAATCTCTCGTTTGTTTTTATTTCTAATATCATCGTAATAAAAGAAAAAAAAAGCAAATCCAAGATAATAAACACAAACTTGCACTTTAACCTTTAATTATCATTAAATGAATTATTCATAATACGTAATGTGCGTTTCATAATTTTTAGCGACTGTTTTAAAATTTCCTCAACTACAACAATATTCGTTTTTTAACATAAACAAAAATGTTGTTCGGTGTTTTTGGAAATATGTTTTTTTTCCGTTTTTGTTTTCTTTTTGTTTTTCTTTTTTTTTATTTTTTTTTCTATTGTTTTCACCTTCGAGTATTATCATCAGGTGAGATAATTTATTAAATGCAATGCGTTTTGTATTATAGTAATCGTAAAATGACTGCAATTATAACGATATGTGCACATAACATAATAAACAAAAAATGTTGTTACGAAGTGTTACTACGTAATATGTTTTTTTCTTTTCTTTTTTTTATCTATGATTATTATTATCATCACGTGAGATAATTTAAATATTACGTAATTGCTGTTTAAATATTATTTGAATTGTTTATTAATATTTATTTATTTAATTTTGAATTATTATCATTTATGTAATTAATTTAATTTAGTATTGTTAATATAATTATTTAAGTACTATTTATTTATTTCATTTAGCATTATTTATTAATTTATTATATTAATTTAGCATTAAAATAATTTACTTAATTTAGCATTATTATTATTAATTATTTAATTAAATTAGTATTATGAATTTAATTAATTTAGAATTATTAATTTACTTATTTTTTTTTTCGTGTGGTTTGTTATAATATCCCGGGCGCTCAGTCCTTGAACCATTGTGCCCGGGGCGCCCCTTGCAGGGAGCACCTATCATTGTGGTGTGTGTCCCGTGGGCAGCCACGTCCCTTCGTGCGAAGGGCCGCACACACAGTCCGGGGTCCCCCCAAGCCAACCACCACATCGAATGTGGCGGTTGGTGGTCCCAATGGCATCATTTCTGACGCCCACGAGCCCAAAGCCACGACGACGAGCACAGGGCATGTTTCCCCCCCTCGTTCGATGTCGGAGAGCGGGGACTCGAACCCGCGAAATCCGGGCGGGAATCGAGCGCTCTACCGACTGAGCCATGCCGTGCTCTATTAATTTATTTAATATTTATATTTATTTTAAGTATTATTATATAATATTGCAAATATTAAATGTGTTTTTATTATTATATTATTGTTATTTAATAATTAATAATATATAATATTTATTATTTATTTAATTTTGAATTATTATTATTTATATAATTAATTTAATTTAGTATTGTTAATATAATTATTTAAGTACTGTAGGGAAATCAATTGTTCTGTATCCGGCTAGGGATATCTAATTCCTGCGTGTTGCTGACACTACTTGAGATATAAAAGATATTCTTTATTCTCGCAAATTATTGTTTATTACAATTACAATTACCCTTACAATTACAAGTACAATTACAATAATGCTTCGCAACCTCTCGCACTCACTTACTACTCACTCGCTACTATTTACTCGCTATTCTCAGAAAAACAACCCTTGACGCGTGACCGTCCTCTCCTTATGAGGTTTCTCCCCCACCCTGCATCCCCGAAGGACAAAACATCTTCAAAAAGCTCCCGAACCTTTGGACTCACACAGACTTACACACAAAACGCTCTCGAACCTTTGGAGGACTCACACAAACTTACACACAAAACGCTCTCGAACCTTTGGAGGACTCACACAGACTTACACACACAACCTCTTAAATTTTCAACACCCCCCACAGTACTATTAATTTATTTCATTTAGCATTATTTTTTAATTTATTGTTTATTATATTAATTTAGCATTAATAATTTATTTAATTTAGCATTATTATTATTATTATTATTATTATTATTATTATTATTATTATTATTATTATTATTATTATTATTATTATTTATTTAATTAATTTAGTATTATGAATTTAATTAATTTAGAATTATTAATTTATTTAATATTTATATTTATTTTAATTATTATTATATAATATTGCAAATAATAAATATGTTTTTATTATTATATTATTGCTATATAATAATTAAATTATTATTAAAAAAAAATAATTAAATTATTATTATTATACAATATTAATAATAATAATAATAATAGTATATAAATATTAGCAAAACAAGAATTAATGTTAATTAACAAAAGTTTCATTTTGATTAAAGTAAATAAATTCGAATTATAAAATGAATATATAATTTTTTCAAAATTTGCAATTGCATATAAAAATGTGTACATAAACATTTCAAATATTATTTAAAAAAAAAAAACAAATGAAAATAATATAGAAAATATTTTTTTTTCTTTTTTTTTTTTTATTGATCATACATTTGAGATACGTTTAAAGTTTTTAAGATATGATTTGAACGATCTTAATTTATATAAATATTAATAATAATATAGGATTGGTGAAATAATTTCAACTTTTGTTCATACGTGTCTTAAAAACCTGTGAAAATTTGTTAACAAATAAAAAAGGGTACAATTTTTGTCGATAATATTTGCAAATTTTTATTATGTTTTCCGTGGCAGTGTAAAACAACACTCGAATACAAAGTTCACGCGTGATTTTGCATAAACGACCTTTAATTAAGGGTCGCATAATAAATCAAATGGTTAAAAATATTTTCTAAATATTTGTGTGATTATGATTAAATATATATTATATATTATATTTATATATATATAGTTTTAAAATAAAATTAAAAGTTAAATTTTTGAAGGGGGAAAAAAAAATAAAACAAACTTTGTACAACAATCTAAAAGATCTAATTTTAGATTGAACAAATATAAAATGTTATAATAAATTATTATAATTTTATGATTAAAAATGGAAGAAGTAACATCGAGACGATCAATAATCCAAGTTTTTCTGGAATACAATTGACACCTGCACCATGATGTAATTCACTTTCTTTATGCATAGTAGGAACTAAATCGTTTGTATCCATGAACGATATTCCAGAATTATTTACATGTACCATCGTCTTGTCATAATCTTTGGAACAAACTGTATTTTCGATTAATTCATTCGCCGAACCAATAAAAATTCTGTAATTGTAATCATTCGGATCCAAATGAGAATACATGAACATTTGCAAACGATCGGATAAAATCCAAATGTTTCCCTCATTAACCTAAAAATTAAAATATCAATTAACATTTATAATCAAATGATAATTTTTATCATATATATATATATGTATATATTTTTTATATTAATATTTATCATATATTTATATATTTGTATTTAGATCAATAATGCTATATATCATATAGTAATATTAATATATAACTTATTAATATATTAATTAACTTTATATAATTAATTAATATATTATTATATTAATTATATTAAATTATATATATATATAAATATAATATATAATACAATTATTGTAATTAATAATATTTATATTTAATTTATATATAAGTAATAAGTAATAAGTAATATATAAGTATATATATATATATACTTATAAATATTATTATAATAGAAATATTATAAATATATAATAAATATAATATTTGTATTATTATAATATTCATATTTTATAAATATTAATTTTGAATTAAATAATAGTAAAATAATATTAAATAATATTAAAATATAATCTCCAATTAATTTTCATTACTTTCAAATCATTAGGAAATATCATAGTAACATTGTCTTCATAAATATAATCCTGTTCTTGTAAATCAAACATTTTTTTAGGTCTCCAACAAGCAATAGCATTGAAGTTAGTTAATGCATAAAATATGACTCCTGTTATAGGATCGAAAAAGCTAACACTGCTTTGTCCATTTGGTCCGCGCGAACCGATTGGTTGAAATTCATGAAAACTTTCTGAAAAAAAAAAAGCAGCAATTATATTATAATGAAATAAACATTATATTTTATTATCATTAAATTAACCCCTTTTCGTTACGAGATACTTTCATAATTGCATATATTAAAAGCAACCTTGACACAATTTTTAACCACCCTTTATATGGGGTTCATAGTAACGAAAAGGTTAATAATATTTTATCAATATTCGCAATTATTATATACCAGGAGTATTAACACGTTCAGGATCTCGTAAAAGTTTAGTGCTAACTGTAAATTCCATTGTACTGGATAAAGGATGAAAATAAAGTGTACTATATCCATCTTTAGTTGGTTCCAAGGCCATACCAAATATTCCATCAGTCCATACGAATGATACATTGGATACGTTGAAACTACCACTCTGTTTTTTTAAATTATCAATGATAATTTTAGAACAATATTATTATATTTTAATAAATATTTTAATAATAATAATAATAATAATATTATTATTATTATTATTAATGATGATTATGAAATTTACTTTAGGATCAGGATGGAAAAAGTGATGTTTAACCAGCCATGATTTATCAAGTTTCCAAGAATAAACAACCAATCCTGGTGCACCGAGGTCACCGAGATAAGCATAACTATCGTCACAATTATAATCCTCTACCGCAATATTTGCGAAAAAAGAATCAGCTGTTCTTTGATCGTTAGGTATTACATATTTTCTCAACAATTTATCATCGTTCAAATCATAAATGACAAGGGTTGGTGGTACTATTTGTTCTGGATTTCCCATAATATCGACCAATCCTGTATCGAGTACCCATAATCTATGACAACGATCTACCCTTATTCTAAATGGCGATACCAATTCTGGTACACCACCCCCATTCCCAAATTGGTGAGCTTCCCATGATGGGTATGGTGTAAATGGTGGTGATTCTCGTATATCTGTAAATATTTTATTTATCATTTATTTTAATCTCTTAAATATCATATCTATAATAAATAAATAAATTATTAAATAATTAAATAAATTATAAATATTATATTATTATTATTTTGTTATAATTTATTAATTTCATATATATATATATATTATATAATATTATTGAAAATAAAAAATTATTAATTATAAAAATAAAAATAAATATATTTAATAATATTAAAATTTAATAATAATAAAATATAATATAAATTATTTTATTATGATATAATAAATAAATAAATTATTTAAATAATTGATTTAAATAGTTTATTTATTTATTTGTTGAATAATAAAAATTTTTCAACTTCAATTTGACCTTTTCTGTAAATGAAATTTAATATATATTGTAAATATCAAAATTGTGTATATATTTTATCAATAATTAAATTTTATATTCCTTAAAATGGTGGAATTAATTTTAAGAAGGGTGAATATTATTTTGCAAAAAATTGAATTTGAAAGAAAGAAAAGATGGACGACCAGTATTGTAGATGAATGTATAAATTATTTCATAAATATTCATTAGAAAGTTATGAAATTAAAACGAAATTATGTTTTTACATGAGAGATAAGATATGGAAATATTTAAAGTTAAGCAATGCAAAAATTAGATTACGTTAAAAAAAAAAAATTTTCAACCGAGATTTACTGTTTTACGTAAATGTACTATACGTGATAGTCAGTAAAATAGATCGTGATCAATGATCTTCGACCCTTCCTTCTTGCGAAATATATTTTAACATTATCTATATATATATATACTCCATCGGTAAAAGCGTTGTGTTAGGTTGCGTAACTCAGCATGCTCGGCATAATATACTTCCTTATTATCATAAATATAGTATATGCATTTGAATTATTCCGACTCGCCATTATTTTATAAGCTTCAGTTAGGTTTGTTTATGAATTTTCAGTGGTTCTCAAATTATAATTCACATTTTCAATATAACACGAATATAAAATATGTTTTACGTACTTTTGAAGAAATAATTTGAGTACCACTGATGAATAGATCAAATGGCGGGAAAATTGAAATTTTCTTACTTTACACTAACCTAAATAAATTAATAAATAATGTAACAAATAATATAAATTATAAATATTAAATATATAATTTTCTTACCACTCTAACCTTAACAAATTAATAAATAATATAATAAATAATATGAGTTATAAATATTAAATTACAAATATTTACCAAATAAATTTGAAATTATACTGATTATTATTTATTAATTTATTTAGGTTAGAGTGATAAGAAAATTACAGAAAAAATATATTATAATATAAATTATAAATAATATTTATTTATTATTATTAAATTATCATACCAGACAGATTGATATAATTCAAACTGGCAGCAACACCACGCTTCCATCTTGGTACAGTCACGAAAATCCTACCATTGGAAAAATCCAAACCCAATGGAAGATTATCTTCCCGATTATAATCCGGAAATAATTTCCTTACATCATCGTTCGGCCAATCATATTCGATTTCTTTCCATTGAAAGACTATTCGTAAATTACCAAAAGCATTGATTGGTCGAAGCACGAATTGATTCCAAGAGAAGACAAAAATTAGCAGGATGATGATTGGTTGTAAACTCTGCATTGTGAATACTGTCGACTAATCGGAATAACGAATACTTGTTAGAATTATATGGTGTAATATTTCATTGGTTAACCTCTTTTCTTCATTACACATTCGTAAACGTACTTTAAATTGATACTCTCTGTTGTCTCATTTTGCTACAAATAATACGACTAATTATTTTTAGGTTATTACGGTCAAACGTGGGTTTAATTACGTATGCACGTTTTAACACGTCATATTGCAGGTTATGTATATATATCTAATTTTTAATTAAATATTAATTTAAATAAATTAAATTTTATTTTTAAATTAAATTTCATTTTTTATTAAATAATATATATATATATATATATATATATATATGTGTGTGTGCGATTCATGAGAAAAACTGGATCCGCTGGACGAACTGGGACCAGGATTTGGACCCGGATCCTTTCGATTTCCGGGGGACTGCTCTTTTATCCAATTACACTATCCAGGGCCCACCAACAAATTCATCTCTACGAATGCCCAATAAATTTGACATGAAGGCGCTTTTTCCGCATATATATAATTTTTAATTATAGGAATGATGAAAACACGAACGTTCTCATATAGATAACCTCATAAAATATTTATGGAGTTCAAAAAAAAAAAGAAGTTACGTGATAACAATTAAACGAGTTTATTATTCTCGTAACTTCATTTGCATACCTGATCATATCTTTTTATTCATCTAAAATCTCCGATCCCACGACATATGCAAGAGAAGAAGATGGATAAGTATAGGAAAAAATAATTCTAAAAGATTGTGAAAGGGAATAACAAGAACAACAACAATAACAATAACAGAAAAATGGAAAGTTTAAATCTCGCGAAACTCGAAGCGCGGGAAAATACGAATAGAATAGCATTATCTTTCGTAATGAATTCGTTACGATTTCAACGCTGGGAAAATAAACTAAACTATATGGTTGATAAATACATTTAACATAAGCATATACGCATTATTTTTTGTTTGTTTCATTTGTTTAAAGTGTTTCATAAAAAAAAAAAAAAAACACAATGACTCGTACAAGAATATTCATACAATTATTGTTAATTTGAAACAATTAATATCCGGGTATATAATTGAAACTTTCAAAATGTTATAGTTTGGGAGCTGAGTGGCAACAAAAAAAAATGCAACAATTTTCTAAAGGCTGATATTTCGATATTATGTAGTATTTAAGGTGTATAACAATAGCCTGCCGTCAGTCAGCCAGTTTCGTTAATTAACTAAAATTAAAACTAAATAATGATGATAGAATTACCTAAAAATTGATGTGGATATCGTCAGTTTTCAAAATATTGTAACAGGACGCGTCTGTGCGTTTTTTCAAATGTTCAATTTAGTATACAAGTTGTTAATAATAGGAAAAATAAAAAAAAAACATAGTCAGCCCGAATTTTTATTTAACATATGCCGTCAGCAGTCGATACAACAGCGCGTCACGCGCGAAATTACTGGTCGGGAAATTACTAAGTGGCAAAAAAATGCAACATGGTATGGTATACATTTTTTTTGCCACTCAGCTTCCCGACTAAAAGTGTTTCATAAAAATACAATGACTCATATAGAAATATTCATATAATTATTGTTAATTTGAAACAATTAATATCCGGGTATATAATTGAAACTTTTCAAATTTTACCTTTCTATTGTTAAATTATTTGTTATTCTTGAATTGTGCATTTAAAGCATTTTTATTGTTTGATAAATATCATTTGATATTAATGATAAACAAATATATATGGTGATAGTTATAAAAATATTTGCATTTACTCAAGATAAAAATGCAAATGATTAGTTTTTTTTTTTTTTAAATAAATAATACTTCGTTGATTTATCTTTGAATTTTATAATTCTACTTTAAATAAAATATAATATTATTATCGTTTATGTCAAATTTTAATTCTTTTATAATAAAATACACTTTTACTAACAATTTTAAAGTTGAATAATTTAAAAATATGTTTCATATATATATATATATAAGAATTGAAAAACATTGTATTACAAGCAGATATAAATTGTTACAAATTTACAAAATTGGTACGAATATTCTTATGATTCATTATATACAATAATTATAAACTATATCATTAAAAAATTATTTTTAAATATAATTATTACAACAACAAAATATAATAATGTAAATAATTGTATACAAATTATGTTACAATCATTGATACTATAATTATTTTTAATATCACACGTATATATCATTTATATTTTATATACAAAGTTAAAAAAAAAAAACACGTGCATATATGTATATTAAATAAAAATTAGAACAATACCAAAAAAAAAAAAAGAAATAATCAATACGTAAACTATGCAAAACTATAACAAAAAAAAAAAACAAGGAAACTCGGTTGAAACTTGAACCGATCGTTAAAGATGTCATCGCATCAATACCCCCATTACCTACTTTGTATTATTACAAATGTATAATAAAAAAAAAAGAAAATGATTTGTGCTTAATGACGTATAAATAATTTGTTTATACCTTTCTTAAGTAGATCGATTAAAAAAAAAAAAAGATGTTGCAATGATGTAAGATAAATATAAACAAAAGTAATTGATCGAATTATGTGTTAGCACAGCACTTGTACACTCACGACTGACTGACTCGTCAACTCTAAATGAAACTAAGCGAAGTTAGGCTAACCGCCAAGTTGTAGTAGGGATCCTATAAGTTTACCGAAGGACGTTATTTTCCTTGTTCACGTCATCCTCTTCTATTTATCAAGGCAATCCGAAATGTATTAATGGGATAATTCATTTAATATTACTGTTCTCTTTTTTCTTGTCCTTTTATTCTAATCGATTTATCTAAAATATGTTTCAAGTATTTTAAATATGAAAGTGTAATACAATACGTAATATATACAGTTATTTTAATTATATAGTTATTTATTATTTATGTTAATAAACGATAAAGTATGCAAAATATGCTAGAATGTGTTACATGTTGAATGATAGTATATTTAAATATTTTAGTATATGTATATGTTTATTATATACAGGGTATGCTAGCTAATATTCATTAAACTATATTAATATTATAAAATATATTAAAATTATATATAATTATAATATAGTTTAGTTATTATATATTTTAGTATATATATGTTTAATATATATAAGGTATGCTAGATAAACTATATTAAAATAATTATAATAATATTAATAATTATAAATAATAATAATTATTATTATAATAATATAATATAATATATATAATATATAATAATATAATATAATTAATAAAATAATTATTATACATAATTATTATTATTATTATATTATATATAATTATTTTTATTATATTATTTTTATATTATTATATATATTATTATATTATTATATTTTTATATTATGTATATATTATTATATTATTATTGNATTATTATATTTTTATATTATGTATATATTATTATATTATTATTGTATTATTTTTATTTATTATTTATATATATATATATATATAAAAATAATTATATATAATAATTATTAATATTCGAACCCCATTACAAATGTTTATTGAATATATATAAAAGAAAAAGAAAATATCAATTATTTTAATTATTTTTCTTTTTATGTACATAGAACATATAAAGTATGTAAATTATGCTAAAATGTATTACACATTAAATATGAGTATACTAAAATATTTTAGTATATATATATATAGCTATTATAAATATTTATTTAATATATATATGATACAAATAAAACATTAGGAAACAAAAAAAAATAATACTTCGGTTAACATAACATAATCCAACTATTATCCCATGACTCTCCCATCTTGACATTTTGTAAATGTTATACTCGTCGCAAGACGAGTCGATCCTTAAGTATAAAAGAAAAATAAAAAAAAAAAACCCTTGTCCTATATTCTACGAATGTCTTCTCTCTTGAATATTACTTTTCCATTAAAGATCAATAATTTGACTCAAACGATCAAGTTGATTTCTAATTATAGTTTGAATTTGTTTTTTTTTTGCTCTTATAACGTTTTACTATTGAAATAATATTCTTTATAGAGGAAGGCATTATTCTATTAGATGGTATTTAGTTCGATTGTACTATAATTCCTATCGTATGTCTTCTTGTTACTACCTGTTGACTCGTATTATACATTTTCGAGGTCGATCGGCCAAGCTTTCACTTTCTTCCATGTTCTCTGTTATTTTACCTTCTCTTATCTTAATCGGGCCACGACCAAGTGAAATAAGTAAAATACTAGTATAATATATTCTTCCTTTATTTATCTTCGTCTTATAAATTCGAATTATTTTCATACATATAATTATTATTTTACAAAGTATCAAAATGTTTGTATTTTTATCTTTTTCATTTATTTTTATTCACGACTAATTATAAATTAATTAAATTTTAATTTTCTAATATTATTTATTTCCTACATGAATATTGAAAATAGTCATTTGTGAATGAGGGACAATTATTTTGAAATTTTTTTCAATATTTCCAAAATAGATGCAAATTATCGGCAATTGTTTTTACCTTTCTTACTCTCGATAGAAAAGATTTCTGTTTTATCGACACAGATTTTATTGCAGTGTCGATAATTTATCGACATCCGTAGACCTATTGATATACGCATGCGCATTAGACGCAAGTGTGCATTTTTCTATTCCTAACCTTTAGTTATGTTTGGTTTATTGCATTACAAATGCACGTGTCAAAGAAACATCTCTAGTACTTTTAATTAGTGAACCTACTCAAACAACATAATGGCATTGAATAAAAAGAAACCGATATTAGCAGATAAGATAAATAATCTAATAAATGCAGCACCTACTAATATAATATCAGACGACGAAAATGAGGAAACAAAAGCCAAAGTGGTAGAACATTATGAGGAAAGTGATGATGATTCCAATAATGCTATCAAACAATCCCAAATTCGTAAACAAAATGTACAATTCTTGGACGAATTGGATAAAAGGTATTTGTACTTGATAATTTGTTATTTAATTATTTCATAGATTTCATAGAGAGAAAAAGGTTATGAATTCATTAATAACATTTTGTTTAATTGTAGGTATGAAGGTAAAAAAGTATCTAGAAAGGATATATATGAAAATCATGAAAGTAACAGTGAAGATGAAGAACCTGAAGATGATGAATCCACAGATGAAATGAACAACGATGACGAAGATGAAGATTTAAGTGACGAAGATAAAGAGGAAGAACTTACAGAAGGATCTGATGATAAAGATGATGATGATGATGATGGTGATGAAGATGATTATGAGGAAGAAGAAGAAGAAGAAGAAGGTTTAGATAAGGACAATCCACTTTACAGAGAAAGAGATGACGATTCAAACTTTAAAACAATGTCTGCTATTAACGTCAATCAAGAAATGGAAAAAGGACAATGTATTAAAAATCAATTAAGGATTTGGGAAAGTTTATTAGAAATGAGAATAAAATTGCAACAATGTCTTGCTGAGAGTAATCAAATGCCACAATATGATGCACAAAAGAATTACAGGAGAGATGTAGATTTTATGAAAAAAACCAATGAAACTAAATCCAAGTTAACTTTGCTTTTGGATAATATGTTAAATTTACAAAGTACATTATGGAAACAATTTCCAGAAACTAAATCTTTAAATAGAAATAAAAATGAAGATGAAGGGGAACAAGAAGACGATGATAATGGGGATGAAGAAATTCCATCAGACACTGAAGATGAAGAAGCGGAAGAGAATGATGAGAATGTTGATAGTTCGAATGAAAGTAACACGAAAGAAAACAACACTCTCAAAAGGAAATCCAAATTTACGGATTATGAAAAGATATTGAACAAAAGACATAAGTCTTACGTTAATTACAGAAACTCTGTAATTAATAAATGGGATGAAAAAACCAGAATGGTAACATCCCAGTCAAAGAAAGGTACTACTAGTCATACTACAATAGAACGAATAGATTTTGCTTTAAGCGACAAAGTTAAATTACTTAAAATGACACAGTTAAAACGTTCAGAATACGATATAATTGGTAAATCTGTTCCTACGTCGAACGGTGAGGATAAACTTGTTGAAGAATACGATACAGAAATTTATGACGATGATGACTTTTATGGTCAACTTCTTAAAGATTTGATAGAATGTAAATCGTCTGATATTGAACCTGAACAACTCAGAAAATATCGTATTGATCTAATGGAGAAAAAGGAAAGAGAAAGGAGAAAAATGAAGAAGGATAGAAAAGTAGATACTAGAGCTAGTAAAGGTAGAAAAGTACGATACAATGTTCATAATAAATTAGTCAATTATATGGCTCCTATTACGGTGTATGATACTTGGACCGATCTTTCGAAAAATGAACTTTACAATTCTTTGTTTGGTAAAATAAAACCTGTTGAAACGATACAACATTAATTATTAAAATATATATATATATATATATATATATAGTAGGATGTAGAACATACATTCTAAATAAAGTAGGTATTCGTAAGGAATTGGAATGAAAGTCCTTTGGTAGTTGAATAGTTAAAATTGTTAAAATGGAGAAAGGAAGGTTTGAATAGCCCAGTAGTCAGAATCAAATCCAACTGGTTCATTTTTTTGTCACGAATCTTACAATATCATATAAAAAAGATTATTTGTAATATTGTCATCTTATTTGCATATATGTCAATGTATCAAAACAATTACCTCTCTGTATCATTATTACAATTATAAGACTCTCTTCCACATAGATTATAAATTGTATTAAATTATATTATATTATATACAGGATGTCCCAAAAATTAATTTACCAAATTGTACTATTAGAAATCTATTATCTATCATAATCTTAACAAGTGTACAAGTTTACATAAAGGTTGTGAGTTTTAGGACACCCTGTATACTGTATTATATTATATAATATATCATACAATTTATATATTATTAAATGAATACCTCCCCCCCCCCCATCTGTATAATTATTGAATATGTATGTATTTTGTATGTATTAACAATGAACACATGAACGAATAAATGTTTAAACATAAATATCAATTGAAAATGTATATTTTTCAACGAAATATCTCATCTCAGTTATTTTTTATGTCATCGAAAATTCTAAACACGATAAACGAATCTTATATATTTATTTGTAGATGTATATATTTTGATCTTTTTTATCTCAATGTTTCAAAGTTCAATCTTTCTGAAATACAAATATAAAAAATAATCCCAAATGTAAAAGATAACCAAAAAATAATATTAAATATATAAAAAATTCTATTAAATAATGTATATAATAACTATGATCCACCATCAAATTTTATGAACATCCCATGATAGGGGTTTTTGTTAAAATAATATAAAAACAATAATCTAAAGTTTAATCTTAACATATCATTTATAAAGATGCTATTGTTCTTGATTATTTTTAAATTCTATTTATTATTATTTATTATTATTTTATTATTATTTATCCAAATGGATAGTTGATACGCGCGAGTAAATTAACTGTTTGTTATTAACAATCATGCAAAGAACCCATATTGTACAACCTACCTACCCACTTTAGATACACAAACCTTTTTGATAACAGAATTTTTAGTCTTCTTCTTCTTATTATTATTATTAGGGGTTTGTTCTGTTATCCCTAACTTTATAACCTAAAAAAGTTGTTTTGTTAGTTTTAGGAGCGGTTCTTTTTTTTTTACCGAGGGTAGGTTGCTAGCCCAGCCCACGAACCCTCCTCCTTTGTCTGGGCTTCGGACCAGCTAGATATTATCTAGATATCTAGATATTAACTAGGCGGAGTTGATAAAAGGATTGTCTACCTAAAAATTCAGATATTTTTTATTATAATACAATCATTTAGTTACAAAATTGATGACAATCAACAAATCTAATATTCTTAATAAACGAAGTTTGTAAACATGCGATTACAGGTGGACAAGTTTTGAGTCTAACGTGAAAAATGAAAATGAGTTGAAAATTATTGAGCCTAACACGAGGACGAGTTGAAAAGTTCTGAGCTTATAACACGTAGATGGGTTGAAAAGTTTTGAGCCTAAAATGAAAATCGGTTGATAAGTCTTGAGCCTAACACGAAGATAGGTTGAAAAATTTTGAGTTTAATAGAAAGATGGGTTGAAAAGTTTTGAGCCTAATATAACGATGAATTGAAAAGTTCTGAGCTTAACACGAAGATGGGTTTGAAAGGTTCGAGCTTATAACACGACAGTGAGATGGAAAGTTTTGAGATTAATACGAGGTGGGTTCTTATCATCTTAAGAAAAAAAAAACAAAAAAAAAACAAAAACGAAAAGAAAGAAGTTTAGTATTTTATCGAAAAGAAATGTTATAAAAAATAAACACATAATTCTAGTAAATAGCTAAATGCAAAAAAAAAGAGTTAAAAAGAAGAT